AACCCAGTTATCCCCCGTTGGCTGCGTAAGCACGCCTCGATGCCTTGCCTCTGAAAGCTCGATCCGGATAACCTCCTTGATTACCCACTGACAACCCAGATGAACAACTATCAACTAGGAAGACCCCCTGGCTGGCAGACTGAGAGCCGAAGGGATTTGGAATTGATTCTTTGTTTGCCTTTGGCTGTTGTGCTGTGCTGCCGAAGCAGTCTACAGCTGGGATTAGGGACTGAGGAAGCGGTTCAAAGGCCGAGCACGGGAAACACCCACGCTAACCCAAACCAGAAATCTCAATCAACCTCCGATCTCCCATCCCGGCAATCACACTCCTGACTTGTTGCGGTTGTGTTCTGTTCTCTACTGGATCGCCTGTTGCACCACAAGGCCTGGCCTCCTTTGTCCGTGAACGGGACTACGGGAGAGGTGCTAAGGCGGGGCTTCAAGAAACCCGAAGAAGGTTACCACGCGGATGCCTGAGCAAGCAGGCGAAGCACGCAGCAGAAATGAACCTCACAGATAATGTGCAAAACCAGGCTGCGATGCAGTCGCTGGTTGGAATCTCAACTGCAGGGTTCTGGCTCTAACCCCAGGAGATTGACAGTGCAGGATATGGAAAGTGGTATGGAAGTGGGCAGGTCTTTGCTAGACCTACGACGAACCGATTTCACGCAACCTTGCTAGTTGCTTGCAGATATGGAATGCACGGACACTATCACTAGGCCTGCACGCGGGGCACTATGGCTCGCAGGGGTCCTAGACTCTCCCTAGACGACCACAGTGAATGACATGAAATGCTGAGGCTGTTAACCAGTTGAACACGAAGTAAACCCGTCGTGTTACAAAACAAGCAAAAGCAAGCACTCACAGCACTTTTTTTACTTGAGCCAAATCACGTTCGTGTGCGTCTTTCAAGCTGCTCTTCACCTACCTCTTGTAGTATGATCTTAGCTACATCATGCAAGTGCCTGGGGCTCGAGTACTGTTAACTAACTTAAATTTATTCAGCCCGTTCGTAATAGTATTTCTTAAGCCAGAATGGCGAAAAGTCCATAAACACTTGAACACTTAAAAACCATGCACCCTGCGTGGGACCGCCAATTATCTGATTATCTACCTCCCCAATTCCCTAAAATCTCTGCACGCCACATCCTATACACCGTACATAGATAATTTGCCGAACTCCCCAATTCTGTTAATTCCCGAATCCCTACCCCCCACGTCCTAGATATGAATGAGGATTCCATAATTCCCAAACCTCCATAAAGTTAGGAAATGGGGGCAGGAATGAGGGAATTTTGGAAATGGGAATTCCTACATCCAGGAATCCAGGACAAGGGGGTAGGAATTAGGAATTTAAGGAATTAGGGGAATCCGTAAAGGTAGGAATTGGGAATCTCTAGTTGCAGGACATAGGGTTAGGAATTCGGGATTTTGTTGCGCAAGGTTGGTCTTGGAGTGGGAGGCCTAGCTTTTTGCAATCTCCACCCCCGGGAACAACCTCGGCGACATATACCAGATATATACAATGTAAACATAGCTATGTCTGTAAGTATGTGTGTATATATACATACATTGTGTACCGTGTATATGTCTATAACTATGCATGAGGATCATGAGGAATGTATAATGAGACGTACCTATCTGCGCAGGAGGACAAAGGTGTTCATGGTTTACACGGTTTGGGTGGTCCGGATCTTGGCCCCAACTATCTAAACCCGCTGCAGACCAGCAGGACCTCCGCAAACTATCTAAACTAGATAAACCTTGATAGTCTTGGGGTGGTCCGGCTGGTTTGGGGCGGGAAGGGTTTAGATAGTCTAGATAGTTTGGGGCGTCCCGCTGGTCTGGGGCGGGAAGGGTATAGAAGACAGTTTAGATAGTTCGGGTGGTCCGGGTCTTGGCCCAAACTATCTAAACCTTTGCCGCTCCAGACCACCGAGACCTCCCCCAAACTATCTAAACCCTCCCGGCTTAGATAGCTTGGGGAGGTTCCGCTGGTCTTGGGAGGGAAGGGTTTGGATGGTTTAGATGGTTTGGGGGGTTTCCGTTGGTCTTGGGCGGGCAGGGTTTGAATATTTTCGACGGTTTGGGGAGGCTCCGCTGGTCTTGGAGGGGAAGGGTTTAGATAGTTTGGGGCGGTCCGGCTGGTCTGGGGCGGGAAGGGTTGAATAGTTAAGGTAGTCTAGATAGTGTAAATCGTTTAGATAGGTTGGGGCGGTCCCGCTGGTCTGGGGCGGGGAGGATTAAGAGAGTTGAAATGATTTGGGGGGCACGGGTATTGGCCCAGGGAGTTTGGGCGACCACCCCAACCCCCCAAACTCACGAAACTCCCTAAACTCTCTATTTAAGGAGTTTAGGGGTCTGCGGGAAGGGATTCGGGAAGGGAGTTTAGGGAGTTCCCCTAACTCCTTAAACGGCCTAAACGCTCCAGGCTCTCTAGTAGTTTGAGGAGTTTAAGGAGTTTGGCGAGTTTGCGGGAGGGTCCCGAAAGGTAGTTTTGGGGGGTCCCCGGGTGTTGATTAAGTCTTTTTGCGGAAGACACACGACTTCCTTGGTGTCTTTGTTTTTCTTGTCTTTGTTGCTGTAAGATAATACAAGGTAACGAAGGAAAAGAAACATGCTTCCACTACACTGTATAAAACAGCCAAGGCAACGCAAAAGAAGGAAAGCGAGTGTTGTTGTTTGAATGATTCCATCACGCTTTCATTGCACTGACACCCAGGCATATACCATCCTTCCTGTAATCTAAGCTTGGGACCTTCTTGTATGATCCTGTCACCTACATAGATTCTAAGGTATACGCTGCTGCCTTCATTCCATTCAATTTAACAACAAAGGGCGCAAGACAATGTATTGAACGCAGTGCAGGGAAGCGTGCTTGCGTCCTTGGATTTTAAATTGAAGGTAGTGAAAGCAACAGCGCCATGCAATTCAGGAAGTAGCGAAGGTTGGGCGTACCTTGACAATAGAATCCCAGCTTAGTAGGTTAGGCGGTGTAACAATGAAGAGAGTGACTTGCTTACCTTGTTTTGTTTCATGTCAATGTAAGCGAGAATGGAACGAACATGAACGAACCATTTAAAGCAAATACGAACGGAATGACTGCTCCCAAGCTTAACTGTGTCATCTCCTATCGTTCCTTCCTGTGTGTTAAGGAAGAGAGACACTGAAGAAACGTAAGCGGTTTCTTCACTCAAACACAACGCACACAACCAGAAGGCAAAAAACCCAAAATTAACTCAAGAATGCTTGTTTCATGTCATTCCATTTTCGTTGCTGAACTAATTTAGGCCCTTGAAATCTGGGAAACAGGAGTGACAGAAGCTTGGAATCTAGGTCATGCGTTCGTTCCAGAAAGCCTAAATTCCAGCAGGACACAGAGGGCTTGTGGTTGGGCGCAAGCGGGTTTGCTTGCAGAAAGTTTATGCTTTATGTATTATTCGGACAACTTCTTCGTTTCTGAGGTATTCGGCAACGACGGTTGATCTTAATTCATAAACCCGCGCCCTCAGCAGGCGGTGGCAGTGTCTCACAATTGCTATACCCACACTCATCAGGTGATGGCGGTTGAGCACATATGTATATTGAACCAGAATCCTCATCAGTCACCACCTGCCGAGCCCTGCTCATTAGGCGATGGCGGTTGACCGAACTTCTGAAAGCAACCCTCGTTGGACGATAGCAGCTTCTCATATTTCTTGAGCGTGCCCCCTAAGAGTTGTGGATCACATCATGTGTTTTACTTGCTCCCCCGATGGCGACATACTCCGAAACCAACCTCGAAAACCCAATACTCACACCTTCTTGTGAGAGGAGCTTCAGGAGGATGATACTGGGGTGCGGTGGATGCTGCCGGGAACCCTGGGTGCACTATCCGAAAAGCACAGACGAGAAAGCAAGAGCAGTCAAGACAACGCGACAATTTAAAAAAAAAAAAAAAGCAGAACCGCTTCAATATTCCACGGCTTTCTGACCGCAGCCTTCTGTGAGAGAGTGTCAGGGTGCTGTCCCGCGTCGCTCCCCGAAGGGCTCGCCGCTAGGTCAGCACTCGCTATGACACTTCACAAACAAGCTGGTCAGAAACAACTTCTCGCCGCTCAAACAATAAAGGTGATTACGAACTGAGCATGTCTGGATCCCAAACTGCCCTCGCCATGTTCCGAAACACCTGTCTAGGCTGCTGACTTGGAGGAGCACAGTTAGCAAACCACCATGCTGTTGTATTCAGAAACACTCGGAGCCGGCACCTACAGCGGCAAGCTGGCTCGCGGTGCGGGCACTGGTCTGCTGGAAGCACGGCAGGCCCTGCGCGCACGCAAACGTGACTGCACAGATACGCACAGCACATCAGGTACTCGGGAAGCCCCCGGCACCTTGCAGAATGAGAGCTGTCTTGGAGGTGCCATGTGAATACTTGCCTCAGCACAGGGGTGATCATGGCGCCCCCTCACAAATCTGTACGACTGACCGTCCTTACCTGCACCGAACTCCTCACAGGTGATGCGAATGCATGGGCCGCTTGGGAAGAGAGGCCTCATCGCAAGCGAGAACAAATCGAAGACGCGGTTTGATTTCCCTTCGGCGAGACCTGCACCTGTCAGTGTGGCGAGGGTTGAGGGTAGGCCTCGGCAGAAGTAAGCATGCAGAACCTTTTTCAGAGGTGGATTGCCTGGCAAGCGAGTGTGCGACCGACCGGAGCATGCATACGCAAAACAATCAGAGGTGGATCCTTCAGGAGCAGGCGCCTTGCCCTTCGCTGAGTCATAGATAAGCAGTGAGCATTAGCTCGTGCAGTGCCCTGAGAAGTGGGATGTGATAGGACGTGTGCGATGATACCCCTTCGAGAACAAACTCGAGCTTGTGTGAAGAATCCAGGGTACCGGCCATGACGTGAAGACGTTCCGGTTCCAGACATTACGCTTGAGCCAAGATGCAGTGACGTGTGCGGGCTTGCACTTCGCAGATGGGCAAAAACGGGCGGGTTAGCTGAGCCAGGGCGCCATTTGCTCGAAAGGCCCAGGGGGCAGTGGCCCGACCTCAAGAAGGCCCACACATCTTCAATCTGGACCGTGCGTTCTATTGCTTTCTGCCCATGAGCAGCGACTAAGGCTTCGACACTGTGCAGCAAGCAAAGATGGCCTGCCAGGCGCCGATTAGTCGTCAAGTCTCCCATCAAACCATTTCACACCTCGTCTTGGACAGAGCCCCAAGTGGAGCACAGAGCTCCCTTCTGGCAAGGAACGCTCCTTGCGCAGATCAAAACCATGCCTAAGCACCTTTTCCTCTTGAGCGAATGCCTCTTCACGGTCGCAATCGAGCAAGACTCTGCCTTCGCCGTTTCCGCACGCCACTGTTGATATGAGTCTGCTACAAACAGACCTGGAATGGCCAACGTCCCTTCGCACCTGAATCGGGAAGCAAATGCACCGTGGCACCTCCGGGATGTATTCGCCACATCTGCTTCTGTCACAGCACAACCGCTTTGCAAGGGCAAGTGCCTGCCACTAGATCCCTCATTTCCACTCGTGCATCTGCCAGGGCCTTCAACGAAACAAGGACATAACGCAGGACACCGGAACCTGCTTCAATTCGCTCTGCCTCGCTACAGGCATCTACAAGGATGAGTGCTGGAGGCCCGGCTTTCCATTCACGCTACTACGGGTAATGTAAAAGGTTGGCGAATGTTTAAACTTTGACGGGTTTGGGGGGAGAAAGGTGCGCTTATGCAACTTTACGCAAGGGTGTGTCATCCGGCTTCCCACCTGTGGCATACTGACAATGCGCGGGGCTTGGCGGTGGCTGCGGACGTTCGTGGATTTTGGCGGCATCAGGTCAAGGCTTACTGTAAGGAACGGATCTCAAGACCGGTAAATCTTCTCAGTCAAGTCTGCTCAGAGGAGTGCAGGGCTTCGGCTTCAGTCACTTGTGAGGGCGCCGCCATCGCAGCCGCTGCAAGGCACGAGGTCAGGACGGCACCGTCGTCCTAACCGAATGCCAGAGCTGTTGCTGGGCTGGTGGCAAGGCAATCGCTCCGCGATGCCTCCAAAATGAGGAGTGTGATGTCGAAGGCTGTCTTTGCATACCTCTCCAACAGAATCACCGACCTCAAGGCGTCGAGACGTCGACGAAGCAGAGTGGACTACCGTCTTCCTGGGGAGCCAGCTCCAAAGACCCCTGAAGCAGGGACTTGTAAAGGATCTCTCTCTTCTCGTTCTCCTCACACGGAAGCTCGAAGCGCAGGCGAAGGCTTTCTGAGGCACATTTCTGCAAAGGCTTCAGTCGATCCGACTCCTCGCGGTTGAACTCCTTGGTACCTGGGACCACCACCAGAAAAGGGAACGAGATTTAGAAGCTTTTACTCGGCCGTGATCTTAGAATCACTAGTCTCATTCCGGTGCTACCTTCTGGCCGGTTTTCCGGAGCTCGAAATGTAGGGGTCCACAGTTTAGACACCAAGTAAGGCTGGCTTTGGCAAGACTTGGCACCAGTGCGCAAAACGATTGTAAAAACTTAGCTCTGATTGGAAACGGCTTTCGAGTGAGCTGTTGTGTTCCAGGGAAGGGAATGCGAAAAGCAACCGTCCAACCCACCGGGGTGCGGAGTGGGGGAAGAGACGGTGTTTCGGGTGATGCTTGCCGAGGTCATACTCACTGTGAGGGAACGTCCCTAGAGACCCAATCAACCATCGGCGGACTCCAAAGCGCCCGGCAGAAGGGCGCGAAGAGGACCTCCACAGCAAGGAGGCCTTCGGCTCTCGCCTTAGCAATGTCGAACTTATCGAACTGTTGCGACGACCCGACCAATTGTCGTCGGCAGCTTGGGAACCCGCCTGCTGTCGGTCCCGTTCTGCTTGGCGGGGGCCTTAGACGATTATGTCACCGTAGGCACATAGGTCATGCTCTACCTGTGCGAGCAGGGTTGAGCACACGCCGCACGCCACATGCCTTCAAATTCGCGGGGACAACCAATCTGCTGGCACTCGAGCCGGTTTGTTGACTTCGTCATGCATTACAGTTCTAACTCACCGACAGCAATATCAGCATCAAATGAGCTCTCTCACTTTCCAGTCTGTTCACGACACTTTTGGCCCAGTGTGCTTCTACGGCCCTCAGCACTTCAGCAACACAAGGGCTGCAAATGGCTGCAACATGTTGCAGCAAAGCTTCACGTCCACTGCAACCACCGGCTTGCAGATTCTCGTTGCGAGATTATTATGGGTCTTTTGTCTTTATTATCCGTTGCCTTGCTGGCTGCTCATAAGTCCTACTGCAACCATGGTTACGATATGATGCATAGTTTGCGTTCACGTCCTATTTAATCAGACCCTCGGGTGCGGCCGCATATGGCCGCATCCTACAGCGCGATTCATTGCACGGGCCAATACATTCACGTCGCTTTGGCAAAGAAAGGCCAGTACGCCGGGGAAACCTTTTGCTCATATCTCCTAGTCGCGACTGTACAAGCGGGACGCATCGTGGTCGTGCTGTCCTGAGCATGCCTGAACTCACATGATGCTTCATTCGGCGATGACATTGTGATGGCAGTGGATCCCATTTCCTAAACCCACCCCCTCATTCGGCGATTTATAGAAGAGTACTCGCAATACCAATTGTCAAGCGAAGGCGGTTGCTCAAAGGCTTTGACCCCGGCGTCCCACCATTAAACCCGCCCCCTCATTCGGTGATGGCGGCTGATCCCATTTCCCAATCCCGTCGCCTCATGCGGCGGCGGCGGTTGATCCCATTTCTCAATCCAACCCGCCCCCTCATCAGGCGAAAGCCATTCCTCAAGCCCGCTCCATCGTTAGGGGAGAGCATGTGACAGCGGTTGACCCCACGTGGTAACCCCACCGCCTCACTAGGCGATGATGGTTGATCCGATTGCATAGGCCCGCGGCTTGAGTGCTTGCTTGCTTGTTTGCTTGGCTTGCTTGCTTAGGTTGCACAATGGATAAACAAAGCGTATTAGCAAAACCGCGAGCCGAAACAAAACAAACAAAGCACGTTCTGTGCACACGCGTGCAGTGTTTTCCTACGTCATGCACCGGCTCGCTCCATGGGACACTCGCCCGGCCGGCGGCGAGCTGTACACAGCGAATGCACATGGCATTGGGGGGGGACAACACGACCCGAATGCCAAAACGATCCAAAACGGCACACAGTGCCTCTACCACAACCACCAAAAAGGCGGAGGGCAGTCGCTCACGCACCCTGTGAGTAAGGGAAGAAGGGAGGAGAGAGCGGGAGAAAGCTTCGTCCAACGGCAACTGCAATCAGTGAGCAAGGACCAGAACGGCAGGTGCACAATCAACACGCCCTGTGACTCTGGAGGGGACAACACCTGACGGCCATTTCGGCTTGTGAGAACATGCAACATGGGAATCAACATTCAAACCATTGGCGCGGCGCAAGAACGAACACTGTTAACCTGACACAAAACAGTAACACAAACATAATGCCACCACCGTAGATTCTCTCGAACCTGCTCAGCCTGTGCTTATGGGTTCCGATGCAGAACGTAAAATGATAAGCTCAAACTATGGTGCTAGGTGTAAGAACGGCAAGTGGATGCAACTGGAAGTGAGCCCAGCACCGTATACCGAAGCGATGATCTTCGTGTTGCCCTGGTGCTGTACAATAGCTGCGCGGGGAACCACAGTGATCGGTCCTCATTCAGCTACAAACTCGGGCCGCTGCCTGTTCGATGTAAGCAGATCCGGCAGCGTTGGGCACAGCGCCAACCTTGCGTCCGTCCGTGGCCCTCGTTTCAACTCAAGTGTGTGACCTATCTCAGAGGCTTGAGCTCGTAAGTTGCAGCGGCGCGTCTCCTCTGCACGGCGTGGAATTCGGAAAACCCCAGTCATTGGGCATCCGAAGGCCGATCGCACCTACCCAAGCAGACGTCCTCCGCTTGCCGGCCACCACGACGATCCTGCACCTGAATCTGAACTCACAAGCCAAGGGAAAATGACAAGCCATGGGCAAACCGTTGCACCATAGAAGTCCCCTTGTGAGCGGCCGGCCGCCTGCACCCGAGTCGCTGTTGGAACGCATGGGACATAACGAACGCATGGAGCGTTCGGTTCCTCCCGGCCACAGATGGACTAATCGCACTCCGCCGCACTCTCTCCGGCTCCCAGTCCGCTCGGCGCTCGGATTGCGGCGTAGGGGGCTCCCCAAGCACGCTCATGCTCATAAGCCTCTAAGCTGACGAGACGGCTTGCTTGCGGCGGACTGCAGGTCTCTGCTTGCGAACTTTTGCTTGACAATGCTCGTGATGCCTGGTGATGCCTCTTTTCAGGCTTTCGCATCACGGCTGAGAATGCACATTTGCATGTGTGGAGTGTCCTGCGTCTGCTCAAGAGATGTCAGTGGCCGATAGACTAGGAACCGACAATGAATTCAGCGTCGCCAAACACTTTCCAGCATGGCTGATTACATGATACGGTGGGCATTCAGTGGCCAGCTTTACTGCAGAAGGCTGAAACACTCGAACCACCTCAACTTTTCCATCTCCCATGCCTTGCACTTGAGCACAGTGGCTTCAGCAAATTGGGGGACGAAATGCCGTGCAATTGCGCCCTACATTTTGCACGTCTTCTTCAGCAGGTCGATCCCGATCTAAAGCCGTGGATGTCAAACCGTGTCGATTATGGCTGGTGCGGCCGTGACCACGTATTGTTTCTGCGTGCCCCGACGAGGAGCAACGACAGTGACCTCATGCTTGTCTGTGCCATGACGAGGGGCTTTGATCAAGTCTTTCGACAACTGAAATCAAGCGGATCGAAAGCGCTGCAGGGTTCGCCATCGTTCGCCCTGCTATCAAAAAAGCAAGCGGTGGTATTTTGGTTGGCACAAACGACGACACTAGTATCTGGATGGCCGATCAAGCTTTTTGCGGGCAAAAGGGCCACCAAGATACAGTCGGCTGTCCGTCCTCTCAGTCAGGATGCCCGCCTCCTAAAGACGTGGTGCAATGGGCACACTGTCGATAAGCACATGAAGGCACATGAGTGCGATTAAGCTCTTAGATTCCTGTTCGCTCCAAAAGTCTCAGCTGAACACAGTCGTAGATGCAAGTGCGGAGCCTGCCGCTGTTCTTTATGCCGGCGTTTGACAAATTACATCCAGGCCTCTTGAATCAGCTTCAAGCTCTGCGTTGCCATCAAGAGAAATTTCACCAGAGGAGAAACCAGCATCGCAAATGTACAGCTGTAAACTTCTCCTCCGGGACATGATATGCCGCGGCGGTTTGCCGGGAAAACGAAATCGCCTGGGCCCCTTGGAGTTTTGGGAGTGACACCGGCCACGCCCCGCTCCATGGGTGACCACATTCGGCTGTAAACCAAAAGCGCAATGATCCAGCAATGCCGTGGGGTGTGAGGCTGCCCGGCTACTTCATGTCTTTCAAAGCGGCCTCCACTTTTTCAACCTGGACGCCGAGCCGAGAGTTTGTACAAGGCTTGAAGAATCGGTGCCCTGGCTGTGCCTGTGTGACCTCCCCGAAGTAGAGGCCACAGCCTCGCTTGTGCCCCGGTTGCGTCTGGGGCCTTCGGATGGGCCGTGGCAGGAACGACATCTGTGGAACACAAAAGACCAAAGGCCCAAGCTCGTTGATGAGCGTCAGCGCCTTCTGGTGCCAGTCTGTCTGAAAAGCTGCACCTGACTGCCCGGGCTTCTGCTTCTGTCTCCACTTCAGCCACAGTGGTGTCTGATGCAGGAACTTGCCGGGAGCATCGCTGCCTCCCTGAGCAGCGGACACGCATCCTCGACAAGGCAAACCGGGATGAAGCGATCGACAGCCTGCGGAGGAGCTTGCGGCTTGCATATGTACTGAGACTGGAAGTTGCTCCATGAGCCCGTGCCTGCGAAGCTGTTGCGAAGACGCAGACGTTGGTCAGCACACCGCACAGCCTCAGAGCCCGCGGGCTATCGCAGGCTGCTAAGGCCCATTCAGTACTCGCCTGGGCCACTGAGTCACTGGGGGACTCGCAAAATCCGCCTGACACCTCGAGCACGGAGCTCTCGCTCCAAGTACCTCGTTGCGGCGTAAGAGAGCTCCGTCCCAACTTTGCAGACTGCCGGCCGAGGTCGCGTAGACGCAAAGGCACCGTATGTCCACTTGTCGACCTGACTGCGCTGAAAGCACGCAAGGCCCGAAGCACAGCAAGCAGAGTGTGCAGCACCAAACAAGCTGACCAAGCCGCACACTACGATCTCACCCTCACGGGCTCTCATCCGTGGATGGAGCTCGTACCCTTCGTCAGCCGTGCCAACCTGAGACGGTAAACGGACGTCCCCCGGGGAGCGTGCTCAAACTTAAGGACTTGGCGAGGTCATCCCGCACCACGGAGCCGTAGCGATGAGACCGACTGTGCGCAATGGTCAGACCTGCTCAGGATGATCCCCAATTACCTTTTTTGCGGTTGCACAATTCGCCTGCATTCCGGCAAGCCGCTAGAAGGCGTTCGCAACCGTCCATTCCAGACTGCACGGAGGTGAGGTCCTCTCGTGCTCCGTTACCATGTAGTGCTCTGTCGCGATTCTCGGTGTAACCGGCTAGGAGCGGCTAGGTACATGCAGGCAGAGCATGAACAAGTGATCAAACCCTTCATGGGACGCCAGCGAACCCAAGGATGGCAGATGGTCAATCAATATGTATGTATATCTGGATATCTATATATATATATACGCACATGTAATATATTATAACTATAATATACATATTATGTACGCGATGACGAAGGCTCTTGACATCAGTCTTTCTTTGCTGCTTAACTGGGAAGGAACAGTCTGTCTCACCCACCTAAAGCAAAATGAAGGCCAACGCTCAGGCTGCTGGGAATCGTTCTGGGCTGCAGCAGTTTGCACGGTGCGCTTGAATAACAGGAAAGAGTTCAGGCTTGCCGTATCGTGGCGATCTCATCTCATATCTTATTTGTTCACGCTCTCTGTCGAGCATCAAAATAGCAGCTACAGGCGATGGTGTCTCATGTATCAGGTTCTGATGTTTCTGACATCACAAATGATCTCACACGACTGGCTGTTCGAACTGTCTGTCGGCCCTTTATCACTATGGGATTCCTACATTCAGTGTAAGCGGACTAGGTCGACGTCGGTGCGAGGCGTGTGCGGCAGTTCCGCACGATCTTGTGCGGAAGCAGCAAACTTTACGGAAGCTGGGAATGGTATAGCCACACAACCAACCCCTAAAGCATGACATTATATGTGGGGATATCACAAATCGACTGAGCGCTGAGGAGTGGCACACGGTCAAGCCGCGGGCCAAAACTGTCCACGCGTGTTGGCTCAGTATTTGGGAGTTTTTGGGGCCTGAGATGTCATCCTAACAGAGGATGGCAAGTAGGAGTTTGCCAGCAGAAAGGTTTTTCCGCGAGGTTTGCAAAGCCCTGGTAAGGCTTTGAAAGAACTACAGAGCATGAGGAGGCACGACGTTGATTTTGAGGATTCGTCAGCACTAGAACAGCTTACAGGCTTATGAGTATCGCCACCAGGCGGCCCCAGGCACCAGCCGGTCCCCCAGCCCCTTCCCTCAGACAAACCCCTGAACTCGAACCGAACCGCAAGAACAATTCACCGAAACGAACCACAACAATCCGGTTCCATACCAGCAACGAACCGCCACGGCTCGATTCCTTATCTTCTGGTCGAACCGCAAATCCCGGTGAGCGAACCGCATCCTTCCTGACATAACTGTAATGCGAAAATGTGGGCAACATCCAGTTCAGCTGCTGGAATAGAGCATCATATATAGCAGCTGCTGATGATGATGATGACGACGAAGAGCCCGACGAAGATACGATATGATACGATGCCTTAAACACCAAGTTAAAGGAAGACTACACAAGGCATTCCGATTGTCACGGCTTAGCCATGAAACACCCTCAAAACCCAAAATGCAAAATCCTGGAAGGCGCCTGTTGCGCATGTCGGGAATATAGCACAGCAGCAACAGTATGGTCATACTTCTGTGGCTGAGAGCAACATCCTCTAATTATGAAGTGGCTCTCTGTCACGCTGTAGCTCTTCGTTTCAGGGGGTACGTGAAGGGACTGTGAGGGACGGGTTCAAGATTATGGAACAGGATTCTTCTGGTCACCGCAACATGCCTTCCGGGGGGGTTCACTCTGCATGCTCACTCATCTTTGATCCGACCGCCGATGTTCGGGTCTTGGTCACAAATTGCCCAGGCCCCGTGTAACCTCTGCGGCTGGCACAGGAGGAATACCGGATAATCCCTCCGAAAGCGTGCGATTGTGGACGACAACCTCTACAATAAACACAAGTGAAACGATCTTGTCTGGCAGACTTTGCTGGTTGCAAGCGCCGAACAGCGAGCTACATCTGAACGGAGCTGCCGCACGGGTTTGAAGAGTCTTAGGATGTGCGCTCGTTGTGACAAAGCGGCACCTCCGCGGGGGAAAGCCATACACCCAGAGCTTCGAGCAATTCAGCACTCCCATGGGTGAAGGCACATGGAAAGTATCTACAGAAGAGAGACAAAAACAGCTGACTCGCTCGCAGCTCAAGCACCTGGCATCGCGGAGTCCAGCAGCACGACTTGCGTTCAACATGGTTCGCTTGCCATCTCGCGAATCTGGACAGTGCACCTGAAGCCCAAGACACTGGCGATGACGGCTCCACCTGCAACAGCTCAAATGCTGCGACATCCTACAAAAGACTGAAGGTGGCCTCCCCCAGTACTTCGATGGTGTAGAAGGCAGAGCGGCAGTATGCCAGCATGTGCCGCACTGACTGGCCCTCAGAGGCTAGACCTGTGGTGCGGAGAATACTGCTGACGTCCTCCCCTGACCTCACGTTCGCAAAATGAAGCCGGATCGCGGGAGTCTGTGTGCTCTGGAAACTTTGCAGCCGTTCTCCTCAGTTGCGATGTCTTAGCTGGGCATGCAAACTCTGTTCGAATATGCTCGCATCCTTCAAAGTGCATGCCAAGATTCTCAAGCACTGCTCTCCAGGGTAGCACGAAAGGTCTGTCAGTCGGCCTGTTCTCCTTCGAAACGTCTGTTGCAGCCAAGGTTGTAATTCACGACTGCAAGCTGATGATAGCTGATGATGTGACCTGCTCCTTGCCCGATAGTCCACCAGACGCACCGAGCTGCCCAAAGTGCTCACCTTCTTCTTCCACATCGTCCTGAACAATTCCGCCACTGTTACACCGTTGCGAAGAACTTCATTGAAATTCGTGTATGCTTTGCAATCCCAGTAAGAAACAAACATTCACTGGTCGCAGCTCCTCCAACGCCACCTCCCTGTCTGAGCAACCTCGAGGCACGTCGTGATGGATGCTAGAGGCTAGACGGCTACTGTAGATGATGCTGCTAGCGCACCCTTGTTGAATCCAGAAAAAGATGCCAAGCGACTGGTCTCAGCCTGATCACCGTGATCATCTCCTGCAGCCACAAAAACAGTGCAGAATGAACAGCAATGGCAGTCTGCTGTGGCCTGCAAAAGCACGCGAAAAGCGTGTCTCTCCCAGTTCCAAGGTCCCAAAGGGGCTTTCGGGCTGCCTCCTGCAGTCAAGGGTTTCCAAGATGCCCGACAAGGCTTCGTGCGCGCAACGTCCTCGGTGACGAGTCCAGGTGCTCTGCAGCGGCCGTCGTCTGAGTCTCCTGCTGACGCACGGCCCGACGGCCAGACCGAAAGCCAGCGCGAGGTCCGCGGGCCGCGGCCGCGGGAAGCACTCGCACTGGTCGCACTGGGGACGTGGCCGAGGGCTCGGCGACGGCGGTGGAGGTGGAGGCCGTGCCTGTGGAGAGGTGCCGGGAGCGCTTCAGCGCCTCGCCAGGAAGCGAAGCGACAGAGAAAAACGCCCCTTCGCTTCAATGCAGGCGTTGCCCCTTCGCCCCTTCGCCTTCGGCGGCCCCTCGATTTTCCTCACGAGCTTCTCGAGGTCGCGCTGTTCTGGCCGCGGCCCTGCACGACTGGACAGTTTCTGAGCAAACCCGAGGCCTTCGATTCCCCATTGTCCCCCGCCTCGCATTGCTTGGGCCTCTTCCACGGCGCGCTGCAGCACGCGCGTGACGCCAGGCATCTTGCGGCGTCGTGCCGAGTTCAAGGCCTCCTCCACCTCACAGCTTCGCGGAGCTCAGGACTTCCGACTGGCCCTCTGCTCATCTCTGCTCTGTGCCGGAAATGCCGAAACAAGACGCATTGGCCCCGCGAAGGATGAGCTCGGCAGCCACCTCTCTGTGGCTTCCCATGCATGCCTCGCATGTTGTAAGACCGTGCTGTGCTGATTCAACCATTTGCCAGCCATGACCGACGATCTCATGCCAGGCCTTCATGAGGGCAGTGGTACCATCCGATGCTGAAACACAGGGAGAAACTCCGAATTCCAGCAGCAGTTGAGCCACTCCTGCGTGCCTTAGTCAAGCCGGGTGCACCATACTCGTTTGTCGCATGTCGTCCCCAACCCTCTTTTCTAGAGTAGTTGCTGATGCTCAAATGTCCAGGCCGGGCAGAGTTTATAGCACAAAGCTTACGAATCTGCGCCTTTCGTCGTTGCTGTCTGTCTCTGATGCACAACCGAATCGCAAGATGCTTATGTCAGTTCAGAGACATCCCTATTCGCGAGGACGCCTCTCATAGCTCCACACTTCATCAGCGCTGGTCGCGTCCGCTATTCTGGTAGGCTCGGAGCACTCCGCTTCTGAAGCGACTTCAGCCTAGGTGCCCGTTGGCGCAAGCCGAGATCAGCGCCTCCGACGTCTCCTCGGACTCCGCGAGCTCGGTGCCACGCAGGAGAAGCTCCACCACACCCGCCTCGAGGGGGGGGGAGAACTTACACCAAGAACGGCCTCACAACGTCTCCGACTTCTTGCTACTCCGAAGCCTGGCCGTTTCCGGAGGCCGCGTGCAGGGCCGTGAACTTGTTCGGCTTTGGGTCGGCACCCTTGGACAATAGCTGTCCAACGACTTCTGTGTGCCCATACCTGAAAGCTCACAACAGTCGCTTTTGACTCCGTGCGACAACTTGCAGTCAGATGTCAAGCAGAAACCGCTTCTCTCTGATGTCTCGTTCGTCGCCGAGATGCAGGCTGGCCATGATCACTGCCGTGCGGCCACTGGGTGTTGCATGCGCGATGCTGGCCCCGTGCTCCAAGAGAAGTGCGACGAGGTCAACATGGCCACCAGTGCAGGCCTGCAAAACAGAAGCTGTGGCTCCACGCCATCCCACATCTGTCACATGCCTTGCCTCCATAAGAGCTGTGAAGCCGTCATCGGCTGCTGCATCCACAGAAGCACCCGCATCGAGGAGAAGCTGTGCTACGGCAAGGTGTCCACCGCCACAGGCAGACATCAAAGGTGTCCATCCATCAGATCCTCATCTTGACAGACTGAGCTTCTGAACACACGCACACACACACACACACTCACACCTCAGCTAGCTATAGACATGTATATGCGCAGATATGCAGAATATGTGCATGTATGAGTTGTGTTTGTAGGTTTTGAGGCCGGGAACCTTGTCTTTTTGGCTCCCTGCAGCCTCCTCATCCTTCGCTTAATCAGCAGCTCCAGGTGAGCTTGCAAGTACATCAAGCATGCTGATGGGTTTGGGAGATGGAAGATCGACCCAAGCCAATCTCAATCAGACACCAGGGGCTCGTGGCTGCGCTGATGCATACATACTAGGACCTCGTCTTAACTAGAAGGAACCGGGCATTTCTTGGATTGTCATTCTACTACAATCGGCTCTGTTCTCCTTCTCGCTTACACCAAAGCTAGGATGGATTTATCAGAGCCATCATGTGTGTAAACAGGTCTTGGTAAGCAACAGAAAAGGTCATGAACAATACCAGTGAAGAGAGGCATCTTGTTTTCATTTATTTGCGTGCTGGCTTCTGGATTCGTTCATTTCTGTTGTCCTTTGTTGCAATTACAGCGCTTTATGCCGAGTTGAGAAAATCGAAACAAGATTATGCTATTCACTTTTATCTTCTTCTTTCGTGTGTGTGTGTGCCATTCTCGTTCTAAAACCCAGTAAGGCCAGCGTGCTGTCCTCTTATTCTTACTCGAACGCGGCGCGCGAATGCCAAGTGCTACCAAAATCATGGCTCGAGCAAATCCTTTGGGCATGGAGTCATCAGTCCCTGTGGAACGGATCTGATATATCTGCAGAACTCCACTCAAAACCGATGAGCAACTGCTGTGGCGGCACTTGATAAGGCACGTGGCTGGTCGCAAGGACACACCACCACCCTTGCATGTGCCGCGAGGACTCTGTTGCCACAGAAACAGCAAGCAAACATGCTGCCTCTGTAGCATGTCTTTAAGAAGCTAGAAGCCCTCCTTTGAAATACTGCAGCCTCGAATGCTGGCCAAAGGCCTAGTATAGGCACGACCGTCCCGCCATGGACATGTCAAATCGTGTCACGCAACTTCTTACAAGATCATGTGCGGAATCAAATCCCAGGGCTCCGCACACGAACAAGACGAGAAGCCATCCCTTTGATATTCCGCAACTGCTCTAGTGCCATGAGGAAAACGTTTGGCCTCGAATGCTGGCCAAAGGCCTAGTATAGGCACCGTCCCGGTATGTTCGTGCCCATGTTTGGTGCTGACGCCACTCCACACGAGCGACATGTCACATCGTGTCACGCAACTTCTTACAAGATCATGTGCGGAATCAAATCCCAGGGCTCCGCACACGAACAAGACGAGAAGCCATCCCTTTGATATTCCGCAACTGCTCTAGTGCCATGAGGAAAACGTTTGGCCTCGAATGCTGGCCAAAGGCCTAGTATAGGCACCGTCCCGCCGTGTTGGTGCCCTCTTTTGGTGCTGACGCCACTCCACGCGAGCGACATGTCACATCGTGTCACGCAACTTCTTATAAGATCATGTGCGGAATCAAATCCCAGGGCTCCGCACACGAACAAGACGAGAAGCCATCCCTTTGATATTCCGCAACTGCTCTAGTGCCATGAGGAAAACGTTTGGCCTCGAATGCTGGCCAAAGGCCTAGTATAGGCACCGTCCCGCCGTGTTGGTGCCCTCTTTTGGTGCTGACGCCACTCCACGTGAGCGACATGTCACATCGTGTCACGCAACTTCTTATAAGATCATGTGCGGAATCAAATCCCAGGGCTCCGCACACGAACAAGACGAGAAGCCATCCCTTTGATATTCCGCAACTGCTCTAGCGCCATGAGGAAAACGTTTGGCCTCGAATGCTGGCCAAAGGCCTAGTATAGGCACCGTCCCGCCGTGTTGGTGCCCTCTTTTGGTGCTGACGCCACTCCACACGAGCGACACGTCACATCGTGTCACGCAACTTCTTATAAGATCATGTGCGGAATCAAATCGCAGGGCTCCGCACACGAACAAGACGAGAAGCCATCCCTTTGATATTCCGCAACTGCTCTAGTGCCATGAGGAAAACGTTTGGCCTCGAATGCTGGCCAAAGGCCTAGTATAGGCACCGTCCCGGTATGTTCGTGCCCATGTTTGGTGCTGACACCACTCCACACGAGCGACACGTCACATCGTGTCACGCAACTTCTTACAAGATCATGTGCGGAATCAAATCCCAGGGCTCCGCACACGAACAAGACGAGAAGCCATCCCTTGATATTCCGCAACTGCTCTAGTGCCATGAGGAAAACGTTTGGCCTCGAATGCTGGCCAAAGGCCTAGTATAGGCACCGTCCCGGTATGTTCGTGCCCATGTTTGGTGCTGACACCACTCCACACGAGCGACACGTCACATCGTGTCACGCAACTTCTTACAAGATCATGTGCGGAATCAAATCCCAGGGCTCCGCACACGAACAAGACGAGAAGCCATCCCTTTGATATTCCGCAACTGCTCTAGTGCCATGAGGAAAACGTTTGGCCTCGAATGCTGGCCAAAGGCCTAGTATAGGCACCGTCCCGGTATGTTCGTGCCCATGTTTGGTGCTGGCACCACTGTACACGGTTGAATACACAGGCACCGAATCCATTGGAGAGGACTGTACCAGTCGATTGGGGCCCCGGCGAGTCCAGTTGACCGACGCACCCTTTTGCAGAAGTAGTGGCACTAAGCCCACCAGCCCCTGAGAACTGTCACAGGCCAAAGCATTGTGAGTTGCTATTCAGATCTGATGCTTTGTCTACAGATGCGTCGCCTTACTCGAAGCAGTCAGCAGCTGCTCCGAAAGTCGCGCATCAACGGCCATGGCACATAAGGGTAGAAAGCAAGGACTGGGTCAAGTGGTGACTGTGAATGCAGATGTGCGGCTGCCGTTGTGAGCCAACGGGCTCTGCATGGAGTGGTCTAATGCCGAGAATCTTCATTCCTGCAGCCAGAATGGAACACAGTACCTGAAAATTAAGCGCGGACAAAAAGACAGCTAACTACCAAACTACTTCATCGGGTTCGGGCGCCTTGTAATGCTGGCCGACTCGTCCGGTGGATTCCAGAAAATCCGTCTGCATGTCAATGAGAACAAGTGCCTTGCACGGGCTGCTGCGACGTGAGTCTTGGTCTACGTGCGCGAGGGCCCAAGATCAAGCGCAGGCAGGATTTAGAGTAACAGGAAATCTGTGGAACGGCGCCGTGTTTGCAGGCCGCAGGCAATGGGCAAGGCCCTGAAAAGCTCGGTTATCCAAACAATCTAATTTCAGTCGCACTGGGTACACATGTAAGGTCGTGTGATCACATGCAATGGACACGCATGGTCTGGGCGCGCAGCCCTATGTTTACTTGTGCTACCTGTGTTGAAATGGAACCCATCGTGGGCGGCATAGCCTCAGATCTCCGACCTCCCAGAAGCCTCCTGCCAAGGGCCCCGCTGTGTCTTTGGGATCCACAGGGAAGACTCGGTCCTGTCAGAGGTCAAGGCCCTGCGGACACGGGACAAAGGCTGGTTTTGAGCTTCACAGCTTCCTGGCCGTTGCAAACGATCGACGCCGCGCCGGCTCCAGGGCCTCTCAACCCGAGAAGAGAATCAAAGAAAACCGTGAATGTCCTCACACCCCGCGATGCAATGACTCTAGCGTGCAGTTCTGCCATCACCGCACCATCCACGCCCCAAATGCGAGTGGCACATGTTTCTAATGCATACCGCTTGTAATTGAATCGTGTGCTTCGCAGGACACAGGCACGTCTCTATCTAGGCCTTTGGCTGCAACTTCTGACCTTGCTTTGGCTGCCTGGTCAGCAGAAGGTCGACCGAACTTGCAGCCGCGTTTCGGTCTAGGTGCACATGCGACACGGCTGCTACCTGCCTCTCGCCATACCAAATCTCCTGGCCTCGCCGACAGTGACACGATTCGACGATGCATTAACATCTAGGGGCCTGGACCCTACTGCGCAGGGTTTTCAAGCTTGACCCTCCCTCCCCCCCCACTCCCCTCACATATCCGGGACGCCGAAGCCAACAAGTGGTCGTGTGTTTGTAAATTGAAACTTACAACGAATCGGGTTCACCTGGGGACGGCAGCACGCTGGAACCTCTGCCAAAGCTACAGATGTTGCACCGCACCACAGCGGGAGCCAGAGCCTGTGGGGACAAGCTCTGCTTAGCAATTCTCTTTGCACTGAACGTATGAACCCAAGAGTATTTCCACAGTGTTAGAGGAATATGCCCAAGCTCCAAGCCTCTGCCAGGAGGCAAAGTGCAAAGAACCGCAAACGTTTTGTTGGCGACACTTGCTTTCAACACACGGCCAGATGCTAAGGGAAAGCTGAGAGCAGCTCGACGGAAACGCGGTCCAGCAGACCTGTTCTTCGCGCATCTTGTCGCGTGGCCGGCTTTTCCATTCAGAATAGCCGCTTTTGGCATGCAGGTTCACAAGCTGCAACAAGGACTACTTGTGTCTGCCTCCTCATCCATCTTAGCCTTCTTCGAGGATTTCTCCTCCAAAGCAGCCTCGCGCAAAGCAGGCAGAAGGCATCAAACAGCACGTGGCCCACGGTCCAGGCATGCTCCAAATTTCAGAGTTAAGAACTCGACCTTTAGGCTGGTCCACGGGTCGGAGGGCTTGGAGTCCTCCAGCTCGCTGAGGATCGTCTGCAAAGCATCCTGCGGAGTCTTCGTGGAGTCTGCGGGTGTTCCGTGGAAACGGCTCGGCTCCTGGATTCCGTGCTTCTTCAGGAAGGTACCGCCAGAAATCGTAACGGAAGCCTGCCGCGCTTCCAGCGCTCTCGTGTTCCGTGCTGAAAGGCAAAGGCAAAGAGGCAGATCCTGCCTTAGTACTAGCCGCTGGCCTCTTCTTAGGTGCCTTCCATCTCACATCGCAAGAATTCGCAAGCCCTGCCCAGCAACTCAAACAGGCCGGCAAGACCATCGACGAGGAAGCTGCCCTGGTCCGCAAGGCTCTGACAGCCTCTGCCGTGCTCGGAGTTCGCAGGGGCGACGCACTTTTCGAGAGCTGGAAACGGCAGCAGACCATCGAGGAAGCGGAAGCTCTTGGCTCAGAATCCAAAAGATCAACCGAAAGATACATGTCGGAGATTGGAGCAGAGCCTTCTGTTTCTCAGGAAAGGCGTAGCCTGAGACAAAACGGCAAAGCAGTGACTTGCAGTCGTTCCCTTGTTGCCACGGGGCGTGCCCGCGCTGGCTGAGGCCAGTGCATTGCTTGATGCCTGCAAGGCTAGAGATCCCCCCCCCCCCGCAAGAAAAAGAAATGTGACTAGTTTGTATGCGAATCCGTGCCTGTTCAGGAGACGAGGATTGGGACAGCACACCCTGTCCAGCGACAGTCCCGGCCAATAGAATCTCAGCCTGTAATCTGCTACCGAAAACCAACCCCCGAGGCCGCGACTTGCGTGGATGCAGACGACTTGGGAGAATCCTGCAGTAGGAGAGCTTCAATGCGACATTCTGTGCTAAGCAGCAATGCTGCCAATGCTGCTACATGCCACGCACAACTGTATCCATAAGGGATTATAGAGTAGAATTTCATCAGATTCAGATGTCTTCGCCCTGCGGCATATGAACCATTTCTGAGCAACAAGAGCCCGTAGCTGATGCGGACAGACATCCTCCAGTTTACAAGCCCCTCATGAACAAGTCTATCGTCTGGGACAAGCTCCAGCGAGCAAATGCATTAGCCGCCAACTAATTAAGTCAGCATAGAATGACGATGTGCAGATTCATACCTTGCACGAGACCCGAGAGCACAGCTAGGCCTTCACAAGCGCGCGTGAGGCTTGAGCCCGGTCGCTCTGACTCTGCCTGGTCTAGAAGCGATTACTGGAGGTCTTGGCTCAGCAAGGCAAGAAGTGAGTCGTTCAAGTCTGTTTTGTCGCCGACGCCAGACTGCCTGCAACGTGGAGCAAGCGGCTCTTCGGCCAAAGGCTAAGGCGCTAAGCGCTCACTCACAGCCAGAAGACCGCACTTGTGACGGAGGTGCCCGTCTTCCGGCTCAGCAATTGCCTTGGGAGACGAGGCACTCCGAGCGCCAGATACATGCAGACGGCTCACTTATGCTCACTTCATGCCACATGCGCGCATGGCAAGGTCGAGCATTTATGGTTCGACTACCGATGATGTTCACCAAGTTGCCCGAGCTCAGACAGGCTCTTTTCGAGCTCGAGGTCAATCGGTGGAGGGACGTTTACGAGCAAAACGCCTTGCCAGCCAGCGTTTCTGTGTCACTAACTACACTGTCGTAGTGCCGCCAGCAGATTTTCCACAGAGTTCGTTTCGGTCTGTCTACATTGTCAGCACTTCAATCAAAAAACACAGCGTGGATCTTGACGGATCCTTTCGTGAGCATGTGTGCTTGGCAGTGCTTGGCCGTGAGCGGCATTGCAAGACACTAATATGCACTTCGCGGACGTTTGCAGCCTGAGCTCGCCAATGCTTCGCTGCCTGGGGCAGGAGCCATGTCTGAACCGTGCCTTACCATGCCTCAACCGTTTAGATCCCTTTGCTCACGCAGCTCTCCGTGCCTTCCAGTGTAATGTTCATTTCTGCCACAAGCACATCGCCGGCCTGCCGCCATATCATGCTGCTTACTTGTTTTTGTCTGCCAACTCTGCCTTCACCTTGCCTGTAGATCGAGTGCACCTGAGACAGCTCAGGCACAAAAATGCCTCAACAAGCATGCACCATTTCCACAACAGAAACACACAGAATTATTGCAGGTCATAGCCACGAGCTACAAACCTTCGACGAGCTGCGGCTCCAATCTACAAGGAAGCTGCACGAAAGAGGCTGGATGTCCCCTCATGACGGACCTATGGCGGCCGAGCGACGATGGTAGAGGCTTGTTGTTTGCCTCAGGACATGTGGCCGTCACAATGAGCTGGGCGGTCAGCACTTCGTTGGCAGCTGGGTTGCTCAGGGTTGAAAGCCGGATACCACAAAGCGACGCAGCTTGAAGGCCAGGAGCGACGGATCAGGCGCAACAGTGACCTAGGCAACCCACCAGGGCTTCAGGCAACTTCCAAGCTTCTGCTACATGTCGCCCCGACGATGTGTTCTATGGCAACCATAGAACACGTGTTGGCCTACGAGCGGACGGACAACCCGAACGCCGACATCTGACAGCCCGGATATAGAGGCCACGAGTAGGGGCTTTCTTTGTTTTTTGGGCGTAGGACGGCCCAAGCCCATCCCTGCAGGGTTGGACATGCTTGTCCTTGCCCAGGAAGCATCTTCTTTGGAGATTCTTGACGTTGCTGATCGTACATGTCTTTTTGGGTTTATCTCTCTTCGGGCTTCACGATTTGCCAACTCCAGTCTAGGCAGTTTAGCAGTTTAGCATTCCTGAAGTGGCCCAACCCGGAAATCTCGGACCCAGCCCATGGCAACTGTCATCCTGGACACCCCGCACGGCCCCTCAGTGCGTCTCATGGATTCTCAATCGCCGAGCCTGGGCCGCTCCGTTTAAGGCTACCAAAAACTTGCAGCAAAGCTTCTTTTCGGATTATCACCTTTCAGGGATCTCCTGTTGCTGGGCTGGGCCCGGACAATCAACCATGGGGTGGCGAAGTTTGGAGGCAAAACAAACCCAGGGTCGAAGGGCTGGACACTGGACAGATCTGGACAGTGCCGGCTGTTGCTGTGCGGGCGTCGGAAACGAGTCAAAACCAACCGTCGGCCCATGACTGGGACGAGCCAGCACCACAAACGCTCGTCGACTCAGAGACGGACAGGTTCCATGCCAGGTATTCGGTGTAGGGTTCATAAGGAGAGTCGATCAAGATCAGTCCTGGCCGGCCAGAGAACATCCGTGGGCTGCTCCAATAACTCCAAGCGCCGACCAGCCTCGTCCTCGAAACTTTTTGGAGATGGCTTCGGATGTCCTTGGCCAGCGCAGGACTCCATATCACTCACCCCACTGCAAATCTCCTACAACGGTCATGACATCAAGAACGGGACTTCGTTTATGATGCCCAGCATCAAGGTGTATGAATTCTGGTGCAGCACTTCCACGTGGGAACCCCCTCGCCTCTGCTGAGTAGCGATGTGTCTCTGACTCTAAGGGCGACACTGGCTGTTGGATCCCTTAACTCCAGTGGCCAAGAGACTGGTTCAATTCTTGCAAGTTGCACTGCAGCACCGCGTGCCTCGCAGCATTTGGGGTCCAGTCGTCTCTGCGTCGGCTTTCCGGGCAACTCAGCTGCTGACACCCGGGCAGAAACCTCGAAGAAGATGGCTTTGTCCTGTGGCCTCGTGCCACCCACAGAAAAGGCAGGTATCTCGAAAGAACCACGTTTTGATGACAATTTGCAAGCCAGGCCCGACCCCCGTGCCACCTGGATTGGCGTTTATCTTTGATTTACAACGCCCCTCACCCTTGCGGAACGAATGCAATAACCTGAGGTTGGAACCCATCTTTCATGAAGACTTGCAAACGAGAACTGGGGCAAGGCAACGGAGGCTGGCCAAGTGGGCAAGCAGATGCAAGCAGTGCAGTACTATGACTCCGTCCACTGAGACATTCACCTCAGCCAATGCAGCGCCAGGGCCGGCGAACCCAGGCACCGCTCTAGCATCTCAGCCGGCTTTCCCGAGCAGTTGTCCGGGTTTATGCCGCGCAAGGCAGAGAGGAAGTGCCTGAGCTGGCAATTCTGAAGCAGACCCTTTGACAGCAGGTCAGAACAGCCGGAAGACTATCACAGGACCAAGAGGCTGAATCGTGCGTTCCTCGGAATCGCGGCCGTTCTCAGCCAACCTAGCACATGCACGTGCACTCGCAGCCAAAGCCGTCGCCAGAAGCTTTTGCCACTTTAGTCCGGCAACGCCATGATACCATAAAGGTGGTTTTGGTGCACCGCAGCTTGGGGTGCAGAGAGGTCGTAGAGCCCCCAGCCCGAGTGAGTGTCCACATAGGTGAAGCCCTCCGGCAGCTCGGCCATACGCTCCAGCAGGCTCGCCAGGACCATATGCTTGAAGCAGTCCTTGCTAGACAGAGCGACAGACAACGATGCTCTGATGTTCCATCTGTACCGAAGAACAGATACTGTAATTTGCTGCGGAGTCTCGATGGTGCTCCCAGCCTGCAACTGGTGATCATAGCATTGCTTGTCCTGCTCCTGTCATCTCTCAACATGTCGCCGGCTGCTACAGAGGCTGAGGCTCCTTAAGCCCATCGATCTGGCTTTCAACCATATCTCCAAGCAGCTGCAGCGCTCGCTCCTGCGATGGACGGAAGGCACGGCAGCACGGCCAGGCGGTAGCAAGCAGATCTAAACCGTACTTGTTCGGCTACCACCATTTTCCACCTGGAGTATACTCGCTCTCAGCTGCAGGCGAGCTTCCCACTCGCTTCCAGCTGAGCATGCATCAATAGCCTTGTAATAGGAAATCGCATCAAGCTCCTTGGTCTTTGTTTCTTGAGGGCAACAAGACCGTACATGCCGCGGGTGCCATGTGGCCGAGAAATCACCGAGAAGCGGTGTGAGACCGCTGCATCTCGGCCAGAAGTTCCAGGGCTGTTTGCCACTGCCGGCCCCACGCGCAGGCCACAAGAGCCGAGTTGTAGGTAATCCTAGAGATGCGCTAAGACGCGCTAGAAGCAAGACAACGCAATGTCTTTGAGTCATCTGAGCGTGCCACACTGTTGGTTGGACATCCTGAGAAGGCATGTCCTCAAACAAAGATCGAGCCCAGCATCCGGCATGCCCACACACATGTGACGGAAAAGAACTGTCCTGCAGCACGTGTAAGGACTCTTGCCATCGCTGACCCTTCTCGAAGGCACAGAGTAAAGCCGTCCAGCTGAAAGCATCCAGCTCCGCTGCAGTTTGTCGCAGCTCGTCCTCAATTCCACACATTGGGAGCTTGGGGCCCAACTGTTATAAGTTATAGCTGTTACCAATTTAGGACCAGTCTGACTGCGGGCACATGTCCGCTGGCAGTGTCACGGTGCTGTGATGAGCATATGGTATTGGCGGTTGCACATGGCTCATACACTGGAAAGCTATATGTCTCGCAAGTGCGGCCCAGGGGTCGAATAGCAGAACTGCGTTGGGCCACACATCATCCGTCTCGCAGGCGCTGATCGCGGCACTGTGCGTGATGGCATTACCTTGCATCGATCCGACCATGCACCACTTGAGCGAGTAGGATTGGGAAAGAGGAGTCCGACGGGACTTGCTTGCAACTCCATTTTCCTCTCTGCCCGGGGACTCTCTATGGAAAGCTCCCGCATCCGACCAAGGGTGTTCAGCGCCCAGCTCCACTGCGATGCCTTCTCGCAAGCACTGATCAGAGCGCTGCAAGAGACAGTATCGAGCTCCACCTGGCCAGGAAGTGCCATGAGATGGCATGACACATCAAAGGCTGTCTTTCGGCTTCCGATTCAGACTCGCCTCCTTGGTGATCATGCTTTGCATGACACTAAGAGCCTGAACCCATTCGCCGGATTTTTCACAGGCACTGATGACGGAGTTCATTGTGATCGTATCTGGGCCTCCGGGTCAACGAGAGAGCGGCTCGGAAGCCAACCGCTGCTCTTTAGCCGAAGCGCGAGTTGAGCTTGTCTCCATCTCGTGAAGAACTTGCAAGGCCGTGGTCCAGGCACTGCCCTTCTCGCACCCGTTGACGAGGGTGCCATACCTGCATCTTCCAGCTCGCGCTGCAGAAAAACAAAATAAAAAAGACCCTTCTGCAGATTCTGCGGCCAAGTGACGTGTAAATGTCAGGAGCAATCCTTGACGAAAGCATCTGCGTAAGCAAGGCCAAACATCGCGGCCATGCGCCGGCCGCGGCCTCAGGGAAAACTGCAAGGAAACATGGCCCATGGGCTGAGATCTAGACCGGTGGGCTGGGATGGGCTGAGGGCAGTGCGAAAGTCTGAAACTGCAGCAGAAGAGCTTGACTTGCCAGCAAAGCGTTGAAGTGGAAGACATTGACTTCGTATCCACTGCGAAGCAAATCAGTGAAGACCTGCGGATTACCATCAGAGGCGCGGCTTCGTCGGAAGGGCAAAACGACCTCCTCGGCCAGCCGGGTGCCCTGAGCTCGCGCCAGCTTCCGGAGGAGGAAAGCCGTCGCCTTCGGCCCGGGACCTGCGGCGACAGAAGGCTGCATGCCGAGCGGCGAGCGGCGCAACGCGGCGCGCTGGGGCGGCCTCCCGGGCCATACCGCGCTTGCAAGGACCGGTCGAGCGGCTGACGCCGGCGCAGGTCTTCCAGGACACCTCAAAGGCGGAGGAGACGGGCAGCGAGACTCGCGAGACTCGAGGCTCGTTTTCGCCTAGACACCTGCTGCCGCTTCCTCAAAGCCATAAGGGCCATGGCTGCGCGGTGTCGGCGCGCCGGCCGTGGCAGGAGCACCGGGCATGCGTGGAGACGCGAGGCTCTGGCCGCAGGTCTGTGAGCCGCTGTAGCATTGCACATTGCTCTTCGGAAATTGAACCGTGTCTTCAAAGACTGAAATAGCCCACCCAGTAGGTCCGTGCCTCTGCTCGTCGTCGTCGGCCTCTTACGGCAAAGACCATGCTCATGGCATCACGAAGAACTTCTTGAGAACTCGAGCCATGTTAATTTATTCAGCGCCATCCCTTGATCAAAAGGGATGGCTGACCTGTGTCTCCGTCAGCTCAGCCGCATCAAACGCCTGAGCAGCCGCTCAGCCACATCGACAGCACCCGTCTGACCGGCACGGCGCAGTTCGAAACGACGCACATGCCAGTGCGTTCGGGCGATCTGCCCAGGTCCCTTGCTGTCGATGCCGTGGCCCAGGCCGACATGCTGGTGGGTGAGTTCGGGCCATCCTGGCAGAAGATTCAAGATCTGTAAACCACTCTCACATGGGCTCTGGTCGGGTGCAGTTCCCCACGCGTTGATCTGATCTGAACCGGGAACTACCAAATCGCCAGTAATGGTCTCGAGAATGCCATTAAATCGATCCCTCCGGCAGGCACTACTCCCGAACGGCATGCAAGCCGCGTCTTTTTTCTGAAAGCCGAAAGCGATGTCAGAGTCTGTCAGTCTTTAGTCCGATATCTGCATAGCAGCAAACAACACACTTCCTAAGCTACGACATCCTACAAAGGGTCCACAACCCAGGAGCTCTGAGCTTTGGAGCGATGGGGCCGTCTAGTCGTAGAGCAGCTCCTCAGCACGGAATGCCAGAAGTTTTGGGAAGCTCTCAGTCTCCGTCAAGCTCAAGCCAAGTCGAGCTTCAGCCTTCTCCTGCTCGCGATCAACGATTTGGACCTGAGCCGCCAAATTCCGCCAATGGCAAAGCGTGAGCTTCTACCTCCGAAACTTTCTGCACTGCAGCCCTTCCCGTCGCCGCTCATTTCCTTCAACGGCCCGGACATTCTCGTCATAGAGCATGTCCCGCCACTCGGATACGAGGAGGTCCTCATCACATCACCAAGGGAGCACGGCGCAGCACATCACTGAATCATACTGCGTCACAACGACAAGACGACAATGACAAGGCGCCCTGCACGGTGCAACTGAGCCACAACCATGGACTCGTCCAACCCGCCAGTGGTACACAGCATCTGACAGGCCTGTACACTTCAAGACGAGGCCAAGGCGAGCGCGATGCTGTGGTGTACTGTCACGCTCTCAAAGCCTCGGAGCTTTCCGGCGGATAGAAGGTCCACGGTTTGATGTCCATGCCTAAGTGCACTGGGCATCTCCGCAACGGCCGAGGTCTCGAGACGCTACTGCCGATGCCGATGGGTAGCCCTTCTCCTGGCCGTAGGTGAAAACTTCGCGGAGCCTCTTGTAGGCGACCATGGGAGGAACTGCCTACAGCAGGTAAAGTACTCGACATGAAAATTGCGGCAGTGACAGCACAAGGCTAACTGCCAACCGGAGATGAGCCCAAGGTCATGGCTGGATGTGAAGCCCAATCCCAGAGCTTTGCTTGGAATGTGAGCTCATAGTGCTCTGCCCTGGTGGTCCTGAGGGCGTCCCCCGGCTAATCTACCGTGGATAAGCTCCATCGCTTAAAGCATACATAAGATATACATAAGAGTAGTTCGAAGGCAGGATCATCGACCCTGGGCGTTATTGGAATCGTGTTGCTCTACCGAATCCACCCTGCCGAATACAGAGCAGCTGTGAAGGGCACCTGTACGTCATGAAGACCACAACTCTTGTCTTGCCCGGCTGATCGCTGCAGCCCGGACCGGCATGCACAATTCCATCTTTGATCTGTACGGCATCACCCGCCGCGAAGTTGCCACTGTAGGCCTCGACCATGTGCTCGTAGACGTGCTTGACTGGGAGAACCAGCGGAAAGCCTCGGCAGTGCTTTTCTGGGGGGGGCATCGGCAGCGCAGGAAGCCTATCTGCAAACCGGCAGCTTTTGTACACCAGACCAAAAAGACCCTCATCTTCCAAGTGTTTTGCGCTGACACCCATCTGCGACGCGATCTCCTCGCGGCTCGGACGGTCCTGTGGAAAGGCAAAGGACTTCTAACCGGAGACTCCGAAGAATGAAAGGCGGACGAATGAAACTTCCGACAGGCACGTAGGGCTTGCGATTGTGACAGTCCCAGGTAGTCCTGGGAGGGATCATACACCAATGTCGATGTGGTCGGGGTGAGTGCCAAGATGACCTTGTATGCGAGTCGAGTCGTCGAGCTCCTTAGACCTCTCTGCCTCCTTGCGGATTAATTATCCGGCCTGCACCTGTCCCGGAAGAAGATCTGTATGGGGTACCTGCGATCTTCGGGCTACCAGGCGACGGACTAGGACTAAGAGGTGGGCAACGGGATAGACAAACTGCCTGCATTTCTTCGGCTCCGACGAGCGCCGCAATATCTTCTGACGGTTCGCCACCATTTGCCTGGCCCCCACCCGAGCTGACCTTCAAGGATCTTGAAGGCAACACCGAGTGGTTACACGTACGGCCTCTGCAACGGCTTGCAGCTTGGACTGCAGCTCATCAAGGAACCCCAGCAGCAGGTCCGCGAGCTCGTGGCCTCAAGACGACGGGACGCTGAGGGAAAAGGGAGGCGGGAGAGAGAGCGATCCACACTGCACCGGGCCGAGGACTTCTCGCATATTCCCGGAAAGGTTCGCTCTTTACACCCAGCAAGTACACCTCACGAAGGGCTTATCGGCAAGTCTGCGTGGATTCTTCTCTGTTCATCTCCACTCAATGTGGGCAAGAACCTATTGACAGAACTTGCAACATGCAAGCTAAGATAGGGTGGGCGAGAGGGAGAGAGAGAGAGAGAGAGCCTGAACTCGCTTTCCAGTGATCCAGGTCACCACTTGATCAGTCCTGCCAACAGAGCTTTCCACCAAAAGCAGCATGATTGCTGGACATGTGCGAGATTCACGCAAACATACAGGGGGTTCCTGTGTTGGTCTGCGAAATCGCAAATTGCCTGGACGATTTCATCACTGACCTCGCATGTCGACCGTAGCCGTTGAGCAATGCTCCACGAGAAGCCAAGTTGCGTTCATGAACCCTGGCAAGCTCGACAGGTCTTCCTGCGCGAGAGAACGTCGGAGCGTCTCCACTCCAAGCAAATTCTGGGATACGCACTGGCGGGCTGAGGGTGTCCTGGCAGTACAGACCTGCGCGCTCCTCTTGAGCAACGGCTAGAGACCGCGATGTCACTTCTTCCACTCCTCGCTTGAGTTTCCACCCACATGCAGCACCTGAAACAGCAGAAGATCTTGGGCCAAGCTGTCTGAAATCTACATCATTGGCTTAGCGAAGCATATGTACGAAGGCACCAGCAGCAAGAGCGAGTCTGACCGGTGTAGATCTGTGTCTCTCGAGTCTTCTACGCCAGTTGCCATACCGGCCGTGCCAGGAAGTGGAAGGAGCCTCAGAGGCGTCTCATGGCGTCTCCTTCCTTTTCTTCCCTTCCTTCCGTTCGGGGCTAAAACTGAGACAACTCCAACGCTAATTTGCCGTCACGGCTCGGCCAGCTGGCTCCGCTTCGGAGGCCGAAGCTGGGCAGCGCGGTCACCGGGCAGCCGGGCGGCACCGCCGCATCCGCTGCAGAACATAGGACTTAAGGACTTAGGAATCTGCCTCGTAATGGGTGTGGCACATTTTGGCATGTGGTATCTGCATTTTGATGCAACTAAAGACAGTCTGGCAAGTCTAGGTCTGATGTCTTACGTACTCTCGCTCTGGCGCTGTGACAAAGCCGTAGCGGGTCACAAGCACTTCAAAATTCAAAACCTTCCAAAAGGCCCCAGATACCGCCCTGCTATGCTCTGGTGCTCTGGCCTCGCTGTCGCTTGAAGGCTGGTTCTGCAAGAAGGACTGGTGGAGCCTGGCCAGATCGATCCGGAAAATGTAGGGCACTCGTGCATCGCTTCGCAAGTCTGCCAGAAGGACGTGAGGAGCGAAGGGCGGTGCTGTACCTCAACAGCTTCTGAATGCGCAACTCCCGCCCGTGTCGATTTCTATCAGTGGCCCAGACAGAATCAGAGAAGCCACCGTGGGCCTCACCGCGCCTGGACCGTCACGAAAGCCATGCGGCATCATGCGGCCATGCGGGAGGGCTGTTGTCGCAGCCTGCTTCGCATGGCGGGGTGGCGGAGGGCTTCCTCCGAGGCCCGCCATTCCATCTTGTCCGTGTTGAACCTCTATTCGCGGTTTCGCTGCAAGACGCAAGACGGGTCTGAACTGCTCTACTCAGCGAGAGGCAACTTTACAAGGTTGAAGCAGATCAGCGGAACCTCCCGGAGTTTTGTAACTCCCTCTGCATGTCAAGGAAGATCAAAAAGGCCCCGGCCGAAGCAAGTAAGGGCCCGAGCACGACCCCAGCCAAACCGAACCTTCAACTTCGCGCATCTTCACACGTTGCGTTGATCCCTGGCCTTCTCTTTCAACTGAGCTCCTGTGCTGGCCAACCCCGAGCACGACGCCCAGGCCAGTCAGCCAGGCGTTGGACTGGGAAGCGCTGCGCACGTCTTGGGTGTCTTCGGGTTGCCTTTGATGGCTCTAGCTCCGGCCTCAGGGATCTCGGCATAGATAACGGTGGGGACCTGGCACAAGCACGAGATTCAGGTGTGTCTCCGCTCTGTCAGACTAGGCCTGAAACCAGACGGCGAAGTTCAGGGCACCATACACGATGGCCCAAGCCTGCAACAACGTTGTGCAGAGCGGGCTTTCCACACGTGAACCTCAGAGATCGTTGCGGTCATGGGAAACGAAAGATGAACTATTGGGGTGTCCTGAGTTCCCGAGTAGTGGAAACAGCTAAAGCCCGCACATCACACTCTGTGCCATGGAAGCTTGGTCCTGTTTTGGTTTCTTGCTGTCTGCAAGGAGTTCGCTGTTCTGGTTCGTGAGTTGGTGCCAAGGCAGCACGGGATGTCATGGCCGCCCTATTCCCATAATACAGATTGACGAGAACTCAGCCGCGCGGTTTGATTGGAGAAGGAATGTGAGGTGCGCCCTTGCAGAGATCTGTCTATGTGCCAAAGCGCGTCGTCAACCCTCAGAACCGGTGGCAGGACTGGTCGGAGAGGGTTGCAGATTTATGTCTGTCCACCTGTCTCTTCGCCACACAGTGTCAGAAAGACAGTTTCAGCAATCCGGTGCGCATTGGACAAGAAGTGCCGTCTCTCAACGCGATCTGCCTTCCTGCAGGCCGGTGAAGCTACAAGAGATTGCGGGAGCCCACTGGACATATTAAACCGAGAAGACTCGCCTTCGAAGAATCTTGGCTGGTGCCCCGGTAGGTAGATTGCTGAATGAGGCAGGGCGGGGGCTAGAAATGTTGAGTCCAGAGCGGTTCTGCGAAGAAGTTGTTGTCACGGCGCTACTGTGCCCACGAAGAAGTTGAGACGCGATCCAGGGCGGCAACAGGAAGTCAGGAGGACCACTAGGCACATCTTGGCACGGGAGTTCATGTGACGCAGACACGGCTGCAGAAACTGGAAAGCTGGTCCAAGCGGCAATATGCAGTAATCAGCATAATATTTCTATTTGCATACATGTTACGAGAAGCGTCTCAGATTGGATTCAGCAACAGGATAGCACGATGAATACGGCCTGTTGCCTCAGCACTCAGCCGGCTATCTTCCAGCTACCAGAGACTGTGGCCTTGTCGCCCTGCCACCAGAGATACACGGAGGCCCAAATAGAAACACTCCACACCGGCGAAACCTGCCCGGCAAAGACTTCGGCAACGTCTGCGTCATCTGTGCCCCGGCCTTGGGCACCAAGGCCAGGACGGCGGAAAGGACTGTCGGGACCACGACGACTGGGAGCTCACCTCGGAGGAGCGCAGGAAAGCGCAGCGCGCAGGTGTTTCGAGGGCATGCTGCCATCTCGGCACTCGGAGCATGGCCGAAGGAATACAGCAACCAAGTGAAGAGAGCATGAAACCTGAAAGTCTCTGCAGCCGTCGGCCACCGGTACCGTTCTTACACTTTGCCTTGGTCCCGGGCGCTGACATCTTCATCGCAGAGACTAGCACAGCTCGCCTAGGAGGGCCCCGCCGCTCTTCTCGGCTGAGCGGAAACTCCAAACAGGCGACTCATTTTTTAGAGCGAGCCGGGTTGCATAACTCGTTCGCTGATTCGGAAGATGACCTCTCAGACAAAAAGCCAGAAAGCCACAGCTCCTGATCCCTTCTGCTGGCAAAGTCGGACTGCTTGCAGTCGTGGCTCCTGCTTCTGGTCGATGACCCTCAGAAACTCCCCGACCTCAGATCACACTTCTTGCTCTCGGACTCCACTCTGCACATTCGGTCCCGGACAACAGCGAGGCAGGACTCCTCCAGTCAACAACGGGTGCCCAGGATCGTGCACCTCTAAGCGTCACCCCGCCCCTCCTTGGCCGAAAGAAGGTAGAAGAGGGCCGTCACAAAGACCACAGCCTTTGACAGACCCGATCCAGGTCCGGTACGATTTTTGTTTGCCAACCCCGCGATTCCCACGGAGACTGTCGGCTTGGCTCTTCCAAACGTTTGCACTGAGGAAGATGCCTGGCCCAGCAACGAGGAAGCGGAGGCGAGTGTGTCCAGCAGGGCCAAGGGAACGCTGTAAGTAAACCTCGAATTCACACAACAGGGCGGCTAAAGCCCAAGGAGCCGAAGGCGGACGGGTCTCGTTTTGTCAAAGGTGCTTGGCCAAGAGAGTCCCGCCGTAGGCGGCACCATCCTTCAGAGCCTGCCGCAATAAGGCAGAGCGGATCCAAAGATGCCCTGTGCCGTGTCGCCCCGACTCCAAGAACCGCGTGCCGCGCCTCCGCCGTGCTGCTTTGCTGGGCCCCGCCTTCTCCTGCTGGGCCCCAGTCGATGCCACGCATGCCACGCTGGCTTCTGTGGGATTCTGCGCGCTCGGGCTCGAACCCAGGCCCATCATCGAGGACACGGCTGCCACCTGACGAGCACTCGAGCAACGCTTCGGTCAGATCAGCAAGGGAGCAGCTACGGATAGCTGGAGAATGTCACGTCGGAAAGTCAAAGTATCACAGAGGCTCTCCTACGAGTATGTTCGTGTGCAAGCGCTATATGCTGTACAAGTAGCACCTGAGCTCAGCATAAAATGGCTGTGGCTCAATTTCTTGGGCCCGGCAGGCCCGGCCCGGCACCTCGGAGTAGACGAAGGGAAGAAGGGAAGCCGCACCGCTCACCTCTGGAGAACTGAGAGAGAATGGCCCCCCATTTCCCGTGCTCTGAACCTGGGCCCCCCGTCATTCCCGCCGGCCAGGTGTCGGAGGACTGCCGTAGTGTTTTGGAGCCTCGGCCACCACATGCGCAGACTCGCATACTCGCAGTCACGCGGGTTACGAAACGAGCCGCTGTCTGCGTGCACTGAAGGCAGCGATGGCGCAATGCGCGTGCGCGCGGCAGAAGGTTACGTGTTGCTACTTTGGATGGGGTCGTTGCATTTGCTTCATGGGCAGACTTGCATCCAAGCCTCCGATGCAAAGGGCACGCACGTGCAAGCGACTCTCGCTTCGACTGTTGCCAAGCCTCGCCTGGTCCGCAGGATGCCCCGACGGCGATGGCATCTTCGCAGGTCTGCGCATTGCGCAGCGCTGCGACTGAAGTTGAAGCCGCAGTCAGGCCGCCTTTTGCATGTCCCAGGAAGCGCTCGTTGGCCCATCGAGCCAGTCGTCGCTGTCGTTGTCGTTCCAGGCATCGTACAGGACCTTTAACACTGCCGGTTTCTCTGCTCTCTGTGTCTAAGCTCTGAGTTCCTTGCATACTTGAAAGCTTGAAAGTTGGGAATGTGCTGCGCCAGGACTTTCTGCGAAATGGATCCCGCAGATGCAGCAGGCTTTGCTGGGGCTACCAAAGCGGCCTCCAAGTTTGGCAAGGCGGCCTCTATTTGGGATCGGACTGCAAGAACGAGCCCTGAGACGTCCTGGTGCATTGCGCAGTCTCCGCCCTTGACTCGTTCCCCTCTCGTGTCTCCTGTGTGGGGCCCACACCAGTTTGCTTTGCAAGGCTGGCAACCTAGGCGGACCCTCAGCCGTGGCACAGATTCTGGCGCAGAGCTCAGGGCCTTCTGCATCAGCGCCTGGTATGCCTGAGCTGAGGGTTGCAGCACTCTGCGCAACGGTTGTGGCAACAGCGGCGACTCTCGTTGGATGCTGGGCCTGCTCTGCACTCGGACCAGGGACCAGGCTTCATGTTGCCGCATGAGCTCTTGCAATGTCCCTGCGATGACCACAGCTTCACGCCTTGCGAAGGGGCCAACGATGACTCACTGCGAATTCTGGCTGCCAGCAGTTGGATTTGATCAGATCAGCCTCAATGCGAAGGTAAGGAAGCTAACGAAGTTGAGAGTGAACCTCCGCCCCACGGAGCTCAATTCAGGCTGCTGTTTCCACCGTCACCTCCAAGTGCTTACAGCGGCCCCGGCAATCCTGCATCGAGACGATCGAGTTGGCCAACGGATCTAACGCTGAATCTAACGAAAGCTCTCATGCCGGAGCACGGATCACGGGTACATGAGCCATGCATGCTTTCGCCGTTCTTGCTTTGCAGCAGAGGAACACGAGCGCTGCAATGATGATCAGCATAGACCTTGCTTCTCTAGACACATCTGCAAAACTGACACCAGGCCGGCTTGACATCAAGATGGCTCCAGCCCTTGCATCGAACTGTGTTGTATGACAGCAGCAATACCGGCCACAAGCATGTGCATCTGCAAAAACGTCATGCGCTGCAGGCTGTCTGCAACCACATCTGTTGCACAACGCGGAAACCCAACAAGGTAACATATTCGGTGAAGACCGAAGATCGATGTTGCATGACGCTCACATGGGCAAGACTCCGCCATCTGCGTGCTTCATCCTGCAAACCACGGCGGTCGTCCGCAGTGCTCTTGCGCTGAAACATTTTGACAGCGCAAGCGTCGCACCTTCGCCAACTTGGGCTCCCAGGATAGATTACGTGCCGCACGAGCATGCTGGTGCCAACTCTTGAAAGTGCTGCACATGCGTCGGGGTAAGTGCTCCTGCTGTCATGTTCGTCGATTCGTCGTCGCCCATGCAGTGGGCCGGTGCAAATCGAGCATGGCGATGCACGAAGATTGTACGGTGTTGCGGCGGCACCGCCATTCCAACCATCGGCGGCTTTCTGGACAGCACCAATGATATCCACCGAAATCCCGGAGTCCAAAATGCAAATACAAAGCCGCGAATGACAACTAAACCCAGTTATTCGAAAACACAAGCTGCTCCGGAAACGGATGCCGAAGGCCGCCAAACCGATGGTAACTGCTAGCAGTTAGCACACCTAAAGCAGGAGACGTCGCCAGGTGCGTGGAAACTGGAGCCAAAAACTTGCAACTCCCCATGTTCATTGCAGCTGACCTGCAAAGGGTCATTCATTCTACACTTCAAACCCTGCTGAAGGTAGCAGCACTGCCCCGCAGCAGAATATGAAGGCGCAGCATCAAAGGTAGCAGCCCGGCAACATTTCCGGAGTTCTAGACATGTCCAGCTAACCGACCGCACCATGCGACAATGTACTCCGAATCACACGGGGTATCTAGCAGCCTGAACCTTGATCAAGCATGATCAAGCCTACTTCAGGAGTCGCAGAGACAGACACAGACGAGGGAGTCACGAAGCTCCCTTACTGCAATGCAGGTGCACATGCCCATCCCGAAGCAGTCTACAGAGAGTGGCCCTGCTCCGTGTTGACGTCGCTTCTCAACTGAGAGTCTTGCAGAAGGAAGTGGCAGTTCTCCCGAAACGAGGCCATGCACATCGCCAGGGGCTGAGCACAGACTGAGCTTCGAGACGAGATCTCAATCAGGCGCTGCATGCGTTGCCTCGTCCAGACGTACAGCCAGGGCCCTGCTGCACCTGCTCGGCAGGAGTGCGCCGAAGTGCATTCGAAGTATCACCCCCCTCCCCCCCCCTCCGTGGCTCTTGTAAGCCTGCGCAGCCATGCGCAGCACGCCTCGCACCTGGCCGCACACGCGTTGTGTGCTTCTGGAGAGAAAAAAATCGTAGAAGTAGATGGGGACGCCGGCACCTCTCACGCCAGTCCTTCCGTTGCGGCTCTGGAACCTGCCGTTGCCGCGTGCTGCCGATGCTTCCTTCCCCGTTCCGGGCAGCGTCAGGGAGCCTTGGCGAGTTGCAGGAGAGCGGGCAAGTATCCGATGCCGGTGATCACGAAGCCTCGGGACGTTTCGCAAGCTGCAAGTTGTGTTCCGCGTAGCTTCATGATCCGAGGCGAGGGCGCAACAGAACGACGATGCCGTAGGCTTTGACCTTGGAGCTCTGTAGAGCACGCTCCAGAAATTCTGTGACACGCGAAGCCAAACGTCGAACTGATCCGAACAGACACAAGGCCTGTCTGTCCTTAAGCACACATACCACGAGCAACATGTCTGTTGCTCTGAAACAGTGCTGTCTCGGCAAGACCACTGTGGTGACTGTAGTCATGGCGACGAATGCGTTGCAGTTACTGCACCCCAGGCTGTGGGACTGTTCACGTCAGCTAAGGCCGGCCTTTGCACACGGTTACAGGACGGGCCTGGGCTCGGAGTTCTTTTCACGGCAGCACGCGGATCATCCGGCGGGACAATGCAGGACCGTTTGCCGAGGCTGTGCACTGCGATTGAAAATGCCGCTGCTTCATAACAGTTAGAAAGCACGCATCGCTGCACCATAGCAATTAGAAAGCAAGCATACAGCACGATTATCCGCCATCACATACTAATTACAGATTACCAGATCATCAAATCAGCTACAGTCGTTTCTTGGTCGGTGAAACGAGCATCGGCAAATGCGCTCTTTGCCGATGAGCTCATCGCTGGGACGTGACACTCGACGCCCGCGACGCGACGCGACCCTCCCGGAGTCTGGGTTTTTCGCTGTGCTTCGCAGAGGCCTAGCAGAACTTGTTTGTTTGGCTGCTTCTTGGATGGCCATGCTGGGAAGGCGTCGTGTCACCACGTCCCGTCGGCGAGGTGCCGCTTCTCTCGGTGGGCAGTTCCCGCATTTGCGCTGCAACCCCACAAGAGACAGCCGGGCACCCAGAGGTCCTACAGTCCTACGGCTACCTACGGCTCCTGTGGTTCTTTCGGCCTTCGCTGCTCGCGACAGGGAAGCCGATTTATGCCAGAAGTAGACCCTGGAGCGAAATCGATTCCGAATCTGCCAAAGGGCATACGATGCTCGAACATGCTTCTTCTCCCTGTATCTCATCCTCAACGTATGCCGCGCCCAGCAACCCACTCGAGACTCTCAGTCGCTTCGTGGCGGCGGGGTGAAGCTGGAACTCCAACCTGTGCAGCCACACAGACACGTCGTGCGCCCTCGGGAGCCGTGAGTCGAGCTCTGGCCTTGGCCGAAGCCAGAGTCTTGGCCTGCGCCCGCGCCTGCGCCTTCCGACGGCGCCAAGTCCTGAAGCGCAGAAACTGTGGAGGCCCTGAGTTCGACGCAGGCCTTTGCCAAGCCTCCACGGACAGCGGCTCTTGTGAAGGTGGCTTGTAGCCCTCAGCTAGTGGAGGGACTTGAAATGCTCGCTTCCGGCTTGACCAGCTTGAGGTGCCAGCAAAGTTGCCTGTCTCCATGTTGATCCGGGGCGAGGCGATGACCTGCTCCTCAGAAGCGAAAGTACCCACTTCCGCCACTTCCCTTTCCTTCCTTTCGCAGTCTCCTCCTTCTCCTTGCGCAGGCTACGCCAGCGGCTGATCACGCAGAAGGCGAGGATGGCGAAGGCCCCTGCCTTGCCAACAACCAACCGGACCGGACAGGGGCCCGGGCCACATCTTTCAACCCGAGCTCCCCGCTGGGTAGACCCACCTCAAAAGCACGGGCAAACATGGGCAAACATGCCACATTCGGAAGCCAGTCTGGAGATGCCTCGACACAATCATCACAAGCTAAAGGCACAGTATTTGTTCTCGGCCCTTCAGCTAAACCCCCCAACCCTCAAAAATAATAAGGAACGGCACAATCCCTGGGCCCTAAACCCTCCGTCCTGGAGGGGGTGCGCACACGGATGCTGACACTTATGCACTGCTGGCGGGCCCACCTCCAGTGCTTGGAGGAGTTGTCCTCCACTGTACCTCCTCCGGTCCTGAGTTAGTTGAAGACATGTGATGACCTGTCTCAGGTTACGCCATTTGAGGCTTCTGCGGATTCGCCCACGAGATTGGGTTGCCAACTCTTTTGTATTTATCCTTCCAGGCTTTCGCTCCAGCCCACGCATCATGCAAGTCCGCGCTCCTGCGTATCGTACTCGCCAGTCTCTTCATAGCGCCGGTCCGACTCCTGGAAATGGGAACGATGGGAAGCGCGAAGAAGCAGCTTGGTAGGGGTACAATTGCTGAGCACAAGGCCGACTGCTCTGACTGGCTTCGGCTGCTGCTGGATTGGCCTGCACGCGCACAGCACGGACTGGCTCCGAAGGGCATCACTCCCCACTTGGTATTGGCTTGTAGCAAACATCAGCTGACGAAAAATGACCTGAAGGCGATTTTGTTTTTGGCATAGACGCTGCGGCCTGACTCAGAGAAAGTCCTGGTGGAGATGTAAAACGCCTCGCAAGAAACCGGATTACGACAAGCACCAGCACTTGGGTAGAGGTATGCATGCTGGCCTCCTGGCAAAACTGTACATTCCTGCAAGCAGTGTGCGACGGCAGATACGTAAAATGTCGACTCATGCGAACCGCTTCATGCGGACCTGAGCCGGGGCGGTAGTCGCTGGCATCTGAGCGCAGCCTGCACTGAGAACTGAGCGGCGTTCGCCATATATCTCCCCATGCTCCCCGCGCGCATCCGCGAGCCGAGCCTGAGAGGCGCGTCTTGCGACCGCCGCGAACCGCATGGCCTGCCAGGCACACCGGATGCGGGATGCGCACAATCGTCTCACCGTCTGGCCCTGGGCTCTCTTGGCCTCCATAAGCCGTGGGAAGGGGGGAAGGTCAAAGCTTGGACCAAGCAGCGAAAAAGCCACGTGCGGCATGTGCTGATTCCCCCGCCCTGTGGGCTGAGCTGGTACATAAGCAGCCAGGTTGCAGCATGCGTCAGCAGTGCAGCGAGGTCGTCTCGACTCAGGGTCTGGAAACCTGGCGTGGCTCATCGCGAGTCCGAAGCCCAAGTAACAGCTCACCATGCCGTGGCGGGCACAGCCTGGGCATTGCACCAGTTCAACTAACCGTGACAAAGAGTCTCATCACTCTACCCGTTCCGAGTCTGGCTCTGCGTAGCACAAAGACGTAGCAACAGCCTGGGTGTCAGAGTCACGACGCAGCACATCGAGGTTTCCGATCTTCGCGCCAGTCAAGGAGCCCAAAGTACGGAGCCGAATCGGCCTCAGTTCCGATCCCGCGAGAGAGCGCTCAAAGCGTACACGACACTTCGCACAGCACACGCAGAGCCTCGGTGCTGAACTCCGACAGAGGCCTCTGCACGGCAGTCTGCCGACCGCTCGAAAGGCAAAAAGCCACTGGCCACGGTGCCACAAACTGCCGTTAGCCTTGTCAAGAAACGGAGCAAGAAGCGCAGGGAGGCCCAGAGCCTCGGCTCGCGCAACACCGCAGCGTGACCCAGGCTGAAGACAGATGTCCTGGACTGGGAACATTGGAAGATCTCGGAAGATGTCCCAGGCGTCGCTGTATGGCCGGAGTGTACCCAGCCACTGGCCACGAGTATGCAACATGTCCATTGCCAAGCCGGACACTTCAAACAACGTGCCGGCCCACGCAATCTGGTCCCTCCGCCTCGATGCAGTCGCACTTGATTGCACATATGTGTGGCAAACCCTTCCACAATTTGGAGATGAAGATTTGGAATGCTGAGGTGCAAAGCTTATGCCCGCCACGAGCAGATGTAGAAGGCCTGTGGAACTTCTCCAGCATGTGCCACTCCCACAGGCTATGCTGATGATGCTGCGTATGCTGACAACGATGATGACCATACGCAAAACAAAGAGTGATAGTGGTGATGATGTGGATGGTGACGACGACAACGACGACGACGATGATGATGAGGCTGATGATGAGGCTGATGATGGTGGTGCCGACGATGTTAGATAGTGATGATGATGTTGATGACAGTGATGATGAGGAGGATCGTCACGGCTGAATCTTAACTAATCATCGTCGTCATCATCATGGCCATGACAATCATGAGACACAGCAAAGCAAGGCAAAGCTGTGTCTTTGCAAGTAGCAGGCCTCAAACTGACGTGGTACTCCTGAACCACATGACATTCACAAGATCCGACCGCACTGTCTGCGCTTCAATTCACAGTCGAAAACGAGTTCTAACGCGCGCCGTGACAGTCGTGACAGTGATGCAGCATCACAGAGGCCCTTTCGCGCAGCTGATGCGGGTTTCGGATTTCCGAGCGGAACTGTGCTCGCTCATTCTGTGCATCTGTCGCCAGCATGTGGCCGACGGAAAACAAGCTGTGCCTGTGCGCCTCCAAGTCGCAATTTGCGAAACTGTCGGCGGAAATGCTCTCGACACGTAGTATTTTCGAGGACAGCCCAACGGCACCTTCCACTATGCTCACCACATCTTGCAGGGCAGTTGTGCCCGAGCCACTGGCATGAGGGATCGTGATGACGAGGAATCAAATCCTTGAGTAGCGCAGCCATACAACAACAGCTGCACACATACGACTTTCGGAAAGCACCGCCCTCCCGATGAAAATGCAGATTTTCAATTTCCGTGCTTCTATTAATCACAAACACTGGAAAATGATCCATTTACATAGCTGGAGTGTGACTGGGTGTGCGTTTGATGACACAAATACCGAAAATCAAGTTGTGACACGTCGGGCCAGTTTCAATGTAATAGATCCAAGATTCAGGGCTCTCAGCGAGACTCCTGGGGAAGTCTGAAGGGACACGGGAGTGCAATCAAGATCCACAACAATTCCATCAAACTGCAGGGCAGACAAAGGATGCACTTCATCACATCGATGAGGACGTCAGGCATCTGTTGCAAAGATCCGGAAGGAGAGTCTGGGGTGGTAAATCTCCTCTTTGAGTCAAGGAAGCACTCAGCATCCCCCCCCACCCCTAGACCTGAGCCACCCCACTTGCGCCCCCCAAGAAACGTTTTTTCTCGTCTTTGGCGAAGCGAGTCGCAGCCAGCCTTCCCCAAGAAACGTTTTGTACTACCTCTGGGCCTGATGCACCCTGGCCGCCTTCCACACAAGTAGAGACCACCACCGTCCATGTTGGATCTACCAACTTTCGATCTTGGACCCGCCACAGTACGTGCCCAGCACATTTCAATATGAACATATCCAAAACTGTGCGCCCACGGAAGATTTGATCAAGTACGCGGAACTTCGATGATGGTCCTCGTCATGTTTTGTAACGACATGAAACTCGATTCTATGTGTCGGAAGCAGTACCCTTGAAACCAAGAATCTTCCCGAGGCTGCACGACCCGCATACGGAAGCACGTAAATCAAGAGCTTGCGTTTGGGGTACATGGTGAACGTGGTAGCCAGCTTGTTCTTCTGACAACATGCACATGCATGAATACCTGTCACTGACTGTCACCACATAATATCTGTTGTGACCTTCGCAAACCTTGGTTGGTTATGATCCATAACTTCGATTGCCTGACATGTTCAGCGATTGAAATTTTCGACTCTACACGATGATTATAGTTGTGCTGAGACGAGTTGAGTCATTTGTGACCCTAGGCCAGGCTCGGTCCTATCACCACCCTCGCAATGCTGCACAGTCGTGCCCACTGCCGAGATGTATTTTGCGTCTACAGTAAGTATTATGGTGCTTGTGAAATAAGAAGCTGAGGTTTGAATACCTCACAACAACCTGACACAGCGGGGTCAGCAGAGCTCATGTTTCAGGTCACAGGGGCATTACCGGCATGGATGGAAAGGGCTTGAAACGAACAGATTGCCGAACTTCGGCCACATATTTCACAGCAATTGACAGCAAAACCACTTGATAACTTAAGATCCACGATAAAGATGGTGACCTAGGATGCACAACTTTCTCTCCCCGAAATTCCCAGAACCAGAAGGCTGCTTGTGACGAAACTTGACAAACAAGCCCTGCCGATGAGCAGGTGTGTCGTCAAATCAAAGCATTCTTGAGGAAGGAAGAACGGATGGAACACATTGTTGGTATCTGAACACGTACCCAAAGATACCTTTTCGCGGTCTTCATGCGTGAATCGACATGTCGTCAATCATTGCGTTCTCGGTTAGGAAAGGGCTTTGGGGAACCAACTGCGCAATGTACAAATCGTGCTCGGTAGTTTGTTGGTTTTTCCAGCTTGCAATAAAAGCATTGAACATGTTCCGAATTAGGATGTCTTGTTTGCCGTTGGCGCATGTACTGTCGCATTCATCCATGTTGGGTTCGCACCTTGCAAAGCACAACACGTCGACGCTGGGCATAATTGGAAGTCGAAATTCCACCGCGGAGCGTGTTGGAAGGATGGGGGCCGTACGTTTATGTTCTGTTCCTCGCCCAACACAGCAAAACAGCAACAATGCCGTCGGTATTTTCCATTCTCAACACCACACGTTGTCCGAATTTGGATCGCAACCGCGCCTCATTCGATGTACACCATTGCACAAAATCTATCAACTTCTAAGACTTTTCATTGGCCCCTGCTATCTTTGTATTGCTTGTGGCACACTCTCAGGGTTTCGATCAACGCGAAAAGTGAGTTGTCTGTTCAACCACAAGTCAGGACCTTCAATGTTTGTGGGGTGTGTTTGTGGATACTCTATTGGAAAACGGCTTCAATCTCATGATCCCGCACGCGTGTCTCAACCGCATGGAAATACTGCAGTGTCACTGGAACTCGCATGAAGTCACTTAAAAAGTGCCGGGGGGCGTGGTGTCTCGGACATGCTCATCCTTTGGTGGAGCCGAAGGGGTCAACACGCCGAGAGCAGTTGCGGCGATGGTAAGGACGACGACCTTATCTGCTCAATCGTCGTTGTAATTTGACATGATTGTGCCTCTCTTTCTTTCTCGTTTTCCAACACCAAATACCACGGTTGTTTGTCCCGCAACTCAAACGCTTCTTCCACCGCTTCCGTCCAAGATGCGCGTGACAGGTGAAAGCCAACGGACCTTCGAAAGTGCCGGCGGGCCAAGGCCCGGCGATGAATGCACACTGGTTTGCTTTTGTTTTGCAGATAGCGCGAATCGGATGAGAAGTCCAAGCAAGTTCACTAGAACGAGACAGGGGGAAGCAGCAGGAAGGAAAGCCCGTGAAGGGGTGACCTGCGGCGAATGGCTGCGGTGGAATTGCAGGGGCGCTGCACACAGATGAACAACTTACGCTAGCCGCTAGTCCGCAACGTCCGCGACCGAAGGGGGTTCTCAATTCTCAATGAATGGCATTTCGCATGGCTGCCACAAGCAAGCTCCGGTGAAACCTCGAAGGCCGTAATTCTGCAGCCGGACCGGGGAAACGCACGCCGAGCTATGGCACGTCGGAAACCGGTAGCCGGACAGGTCCAAACAAGAAAAGCAGCGGACGCGAAAAATCCCAGGCGGGAAGCAGGGGTGAAACGCTCAACCCAAGGGTAATGCTCCAATAGGCTGACACGTCTCCGCAAACCTGCCTTGGTGCATTGCTCAGCGCCCTTTCTGTTCTCACAACGCATCACGTTCATGTTGTCACGCGATGTGACAACTCACTGTGGCTTGGGTTCCTTGCTCTCGTCCTTCTTTCAATGGCCGTGTCGGGTCATGTTGACAATATCTACGGTCGTTGCCGACGGACTCAGCCATCGCACAGATCCGGCCTCTTGCCCGAACAGTTGAAAATGATTTGGAGTTTCAGCTCCGCTGTGTCAATCTTCCGACTCCCTGGCCTCAGCCTCTCATTCTCTGGCGATGGGTGTTGTTGGTTTAGCTCGGTGTTTTCCGGTTGGTTCACAGTGTCTGCCATCATCGAGTGACAAATCAAAATGTTGCAGTTTGGTTAGCAATAGTCAGCGAGTCAGCGAGTGGGCAATAGGATCCCATCACGTGCTTGACTAGGTGCGAAAAGCGGTGTGAGCTGTCATGGGTTTTATTTCAAAGGCCTCGTTTATATAACTCAAGAGGTTTTCACCAAGCTTCAAGTCATTCCTCGAGGTTTCTCACGAGACGTCGAGATTCTGCTATTGACAAAGCCTAACGGCGTTGCTGGTGAGCACCCCTTAGCTCCCCACCCCTTTTGGGATGCTCCAACAACCGTTTCCGTACACAGCACGCGGCTGTCCCACCGAGTGTGGCTCAAGGCTGGATCAAGGCCCGGATCATCATTGTGCTGTGTTAGTGGGGCTAGCGATTGATCGTGATGGGTACTGTGTCTTTAAGTTTAGAGTGTTCCGTGGAATTACACATGGTAGCGGAGCTTGGGCTCCAGAAACCAGGGAAGGAGTGAAACATGATGAAAGTCGGAGAGAGAGGAAATTGTTCACGCCGCCAGTGTACCCCGGAGAGCTTGAGAAATGGGAAGACAGGTCATGGCAGTTGCAGAGTTATGTTGGATTGTGCAAGACATTGGCTGCACTCCTGACGGACGATGTCGAGGGATCGAGAAAAGTATTAAGTGATGACAAGTGATGATTTGGCGGAACAGCTTGATGTGCAGCAGACTCGGACGCAAGTAGCCAACTGTCATTACTTGCGCATCAGCTTGCGTGCATCCTTGCACAGATCGCTGACGATACTGACGGAGCTGCGAGAGAGCGATTGCTCGGAATGAAGACACACAGAATAGCTTTGAGACTTGGAAAAGACTGCATGCGCAGTTTTCGCTGTGTGAGAGAGCGAGAGCCACGAATCTGATGAGTGAGATCTTTGCATTCAGGCGTCGGAGTGACCACTTCGAGAATGACCCGACTGATTTCATGATTGTGAAGAACAGGCATGAGAAGACGACGGGCACGCCATTCGACAATGACCCCCTGATCACGCGTCTGATGCAGACGACGACTCGGCCGTTGCTGCAGAATTTGCTTTCGAATGTTCGTAACATAACACGATCAGTGAAGCCCTTGTGGTTGTTCACACTCCCATTATCAGAAGACACGAGACATGAACAACGCTTCACAGGCACCTTGGCACCAGAGGACAGTGCCAGCGCGCAGTCGACGCAAGGTTGCCTCCAAGGACATTCACATTCACAGTCGAGCCAATCGTGCTCTTGCGGTTGCGAGTCTTCGCACATTCAGCCCAATCCGAATCAACGTAGGCATCCAGCGAGCAGTTGCCGTTCGCCAGCTGGTAGGCCGGGCGCAGTCGAAGCACTTAACATTCTCGCGCCAACCAAGTATCGCTGCAGATGCTCAAGCTCAGCCATGTTCATGGTGGGCGCAGTGACGTTCCGGCTCAATTTCTTCGTGGCATTGGCAATGTCACCGCGAACCAGCGCATGCCACAGCAGCTTGCTTGCATCAATCACTGTAGACTGAGTGTTCTTGGGCATTCGGGCTCAGTTCCTGAAACCAATTGGCCAGTTTCTTTCGACAGCACCCGCATGGAGCTTGGGCGGAGCTCCTTGTCCGAGTGGCTTGCTCTTCACCAGCTTTATTGGCCAACCAACGCGGCAACAAGGGCTGCTTACGACAACTTGCTGCTCACTCGGTGGCGCTTCGCATTCCAGCTTGCTCGAGGGATGGCTCATTGCCATGCGAAGCAGGTCTTACACTGCGATTGCAAACCCAACAACATCGTGCTGTCCTTGGATGAGTCACACATCAAGATTGCGGACTTCGGGTTGGCCATGCGCTTGGTTGACGGCAAAGCCCAAGCTGTTGGGACCCAGGTTTACACGCAGGGCTACCGACCGCCAGAATGCCGTCCGATGAAATGTCACGCTCGCCGCCTCAGCTGACTGCTTCGCCATTGGTTGCGTTGTCTTTGTTCCGCCAGCTGAAGCCTTAGCGCCCGAAGGCCTGCCTGCATATCGGGACCAGAAGTTGAAGGTGCGAATGAACCACTTGCCGCCTGCGCATCGCCTCATCACGGGGCTGACATGCGTGGACCCCAGGTCGCGGACGGACATGTTGGCAATGATGTCGGTCTGCTCTGCGCAGCTACACGTTGATCGCTAATTCTGCGTGGCGCCCATTGCCCCAGAAGTGCAAGATCTTGACGAGTTAGAGCTATATAGGCCTTCACTTTTGAGTGTGCTTAGAGCTATCGATCTGCTTCGTTTGAGCTTTGCTTGAGATCATTTGACATGGTTTTGAGCTCCAAACAAAAAGCGCCTGTGCTGCCAGCGCACTGGCCCAACACGGCTCGGATGACGTCTGCTTACAGTAGCACTCCTTGTCTAGAGTGGGATGGTTTAATGTTTCAAGTGTACACAGTGAGAGAAGCAGATTGATGACGAGTTAGAGGCATATAATTAATCCTTCATTGTTGAGTATGCTTAGAGCTATCGATCTGGTTCGTTTAAGCTTTGTTTGAGATCATTTGAGATGGTTTTGAGCTCCAAAGAGCAATCGCCTGTGCCGCCAGCACACTGGCCCTACATAGTTCGGATGACAGACCTGTTTGCTTGCATCAGCACTCTAAGTTTACAGCGAGATCTATCGTTTATCTTCAAATTTCTGAGAGGAGCAGACGTTCAGCCAGATTGATCGCTAGTTTTGCTGTGTCGCAATGCCCCGGAAGCGCAGGAGCTCGATGAGCTAACGCTCTGTCTAATTATGCTTCGGGCTTGCGAACTCGGGTTGTTCGAGTTGCTTTTCAAACTATTCGAAGCACATGCGCACGTTCTCCCGCCTTGTTTATTTACATACGTTTTGAACCTGCAGAACTCCCTCAGCCGGGTAGTTTGTATCGTAGTGCGAGACCCTAAACCTGAAGCATTGTTTACGCTTGGCTGTTTCAGTGTGGCAGCAGAAAAAGAAAGGCAGCGTATACGACGCATTGTATCATTCACTCTAAGTTCGAAAGAAAGTTATTGTCCATCAGTGTTGAGGTTTGTGGCCGAGATAGTGTAGACAAATGACACGTTGAGGATCCTCAAGATCTCCAGCCCCGCGACTTCAAGCTAAGGCTAAAGCCAAACCCTCCCAACCTGGGCCAGGCGGCATTTGCGGAATCTTCGAGGCCGGTGGACATCCCGGAAAGGTTTCTGCTTTCACAGACCCGGGGCAGCTGGGAGGAGGAGCCCAGCTTTGTGCATCGTCTTCGAAACACCGGCCTGGATCCCTAGAAAGCAGCGACAGTATGCGAACTCCAGAAGATTGTAGGCGCTGTTCCCCAGTTGGTGTCAGCAGGATGACACCGCACAAGGGTTGGTCTTTTCATGCGCATCAACCGTAACTTAGCCCTTGCTTAAGCACCCGCCACAGTGTGAGCAGGATGACACGGCATGATTAGACGTTTTAATGCTCGTCTCAGAGCCGTCAGCACAAGGCGACTCTGGTTTGCTAGAGCGTTCTCCGTAACTTCGCCTTTAACTACCCTTAGTATGCAGCATGTAGCGGTTTTTGTGTTGTCCAGCCTGTCACTTAACTGGCCTAAATACGCCGCATTTAGTGACTTGCTGCTTTCCAACATGTGACTTATCTGGCCTAAATACGCCGTATTTAGCGGCTTGGTGTTGTCCAGCCTGTCACGTCACCAGCCTAAATACGCCGCATTTAGTGACTTGGTGCTTTGCAACATGTGGCTTAAAGTGGCCTAAATACGCCGTATTTAGTGGCTTGGTGTTGTCCAGCCTGTCACGTCACTAGCCTAAATACGCCGCATTTAGTGACTTGGTGTTTTCCAACATGTGGCTTAAGTGGCCTAAATACGCCGTATTTAGTGGCTTGGTGTTGTCCAGCCTGTCACGTCACTAGCCTAAATACGCTGGATTTAGTGACTTGGTGTAGTCCAACCTGCGACTTAAGTGGCCTAAATACGCCGTATTTAGCGGCTTGGTGTTGCCCATGCAGCCTGTCACGTCACTGGCCTAAATACGCCGCATTTAGTGGCTTGGACCCCCCCTCACGTCAGCGATGGCTTCTGCGTGATCATTTGCAACACCACGGATCTTCTAAAAAAGCATGGCCTCAGGACGTGGGGGAGGGTCCGAGCCACTAAAGACGCCGTATTTAGCGGAAGCCCTCGTTTCCAAACATCCAAAATATACCGTAAACTCACACCGAGCTAGACGTCTGTCGCACTCCTGACGTCTGAACGCGTATTTTTTCCGGCCTTTCACCGGCCGAAATATGCCCGAGTTGGCGGTTTGGTGGTTTCCAGCTTGTTGCTCGCCTAAATACGCCGTGTATAGTGGCTTGGTGTTTTCCAGCCTGTCATTTAAGTGGCCTAAACACGCCGCATTTAGTGCTTGGAACTGTCCTGCCTGTCACTGACCTGACCTAAGTATGCCGCATAGGAATGAAGTGGTGCAAGCATGGAAACTTCGTGCTGTACTTATTAGGTCACTTAATTAGATCGCCTGGCAAACGCGAGCCGGTTCACAGGACGGGCTGCAAAGGCGCATGCTTTGTGTTGTCCAGCCTGTCACTTAACTGGCCTAAATACGCCGCATTTAGTGACTTGCTGCTTTCCAACATGTGACTTATCTGGCCTAAATACGCCGTATTTAGCGGCTTGGTGTTGTCCAGCCTGTCACGTCACCTGTCACGTCACTAGCCTAAATACGCTGGATTTAGTGACTTGGTGTAGTCCAACCTGCGACTTAAGTGGCCTAAATACGCCGTATTTAGCGGCTTGGTGTTGCCCATGCAGCCTGTCACGTCACTGGCCTAAATACGCCGCATTTAGTGGCTTGGACCCCCCCTCACGTCAGCGATGGCTTCTGCGTGATCATTTGCAACACCACGGATCTTCTAAAAAAGCATGGCCTCAGGACGTGGGGGAGGGTCCGAGCCACTAAAGACGCCGTATTTAGCGGAAGCCCTCGTTTCCAAACATCCAAAATATACCGTAAACTCACACCGAGCTAGACGTCTGTCGCACTCCTGACGTCTGAACGCGTATTTTTTCCGGCCTTTCACCGGCCGAAATATGCCCGAGTTGGCGGTTTGGTGGTTTCCAGCTTGTTGCTCGCCTAAATACGCCGTGTATAGTGGCTTGGTGTTTTCCAGCCTGTCATTTAAGTGGCCTAAACACGCCGCATTTAGTGCTTGGAACTGTCCTGCCTGTCACTGACCTGACCTAAGTATGCCGCATAGGAATGAAGTGGTGCAAGCATGGAAACTTCGTGCTGTACTTATTAGGTCACTTAATTAGATCGCCTGGCAAACGCGAGCCGGTTCGCAGGACGGGCTGCAAAGGCGCATGCTCCTTCCAGGAGAATGTCACTTGCATGCCGTGTTTGCGCCGAGCAAATGTTAGTCACCGTGAGCGAGACAAGCAGTGCACCCGCGAGCGAAGACGTTGGGCTCTTTGTTGTAAAGAAGAAAGGCTTCAAAATGCAACAAGAGACGTTGGCCATGGCGGGCTTTTTGTTATGAAGTAGAAAGGCTTCCAAGTGCGACAAGAGACGTTGGCCATGGCGGCCTGACGGGGAAAAGTAGAAAGGTCTACAAGTGCAACAAGAGACATTGGCCATGGCAGACGATCTCATGGAGGCCTTTGGGGCGTCTGTGCAGAAATGGTATGCAGGCAACTGCTCCGTGTCTTGCGAGCAAAAGAGTCATGTTTACTGTGCAGGGCCGCGGCAACAGTCTTAAGAGAACGCGCAAGTAAGGCAGCTATGAACGTCTTGCACAAGATTGGCAGTGGCGAGGGCGAGTATGCTGAGTACACCTCCTGGCTGCAGCAGCTTGCAGGAACTGAGGGTGCAGGCTTAACCGTTCAGCAGATGCTGCCAGCTAAAAAAAACCAACATGGCGAGATGCCAGCTTGGGCGCTGCCGGGTTGTCCGGATGCAACGATCGGGTTCCGAAGTGTCGGGGCAGCTGCCTTGAAAGAGAAGATCCAGAATCTATGCTTGGCCCAGACGTGGCGGGCCTGGGATACGTTAGAGATCTGCAGCCTACAGGAAGACCCCGACGTCACCGGATTCTGGAAAGGCCATCACCGGATCTGTGCGCTTCACGTGGTGGGCTGGTATTGCTATACCCATGTCCGGGATCGGTGCCCGGATTGGCTGCGTGCCATGCTGGCTCATGTGCCTGTCCATTGCCATGGCAGGCATCCACGGTTCATGCTGGTCCTGGAAGGCGTAACGCGCACGGCAGCGCTGCAGGAGTCGGTGAAGCTGCACTGGATTAGCATCGTGCGCGCCATCCGGCAGATTGGCCTCAGCAGCTCAGCTGTAGCATAACCACCCCGGCAACGCACGTGCTGACCCCTGCCTTATTTTAACCTCTCAGAATCCCACAGCCACCATGTGGAGCCAGGTGACGTTGAGCAAAGCGCCAGGGAGATGATGAACGCCATCAAAGCTCAGCGGCCCGAGCTGTACAAGAAAGTGGCGGATTGGCAGACCATCAATAAAGTTCTTACGCGTGTTCCGGACACGGTGGTGGTCGAGATCGAACTGTGGAGCCTCGTTGAAATGTTTGTTTGCTTTCATGTATAGCTTATAGAAAAGGACACCATATGGCCCGGCCCACAGTAGCCAGAAACTAAGATGGCCAAACACAATGCCACGTCGCCTCCTGTTCCACTCAACTGGTGGAGAGAAGGGTACTCTGGCTGATGGTCTAGTACTCGTGCATGTAGCACTGCTTGACATGTACATTTTCTGGCCCCGGCAAGTCATGTTGTCACAGCGGTCCTGGGAGGTCCTCCCTGTTGGCGCCCAGAGAACGCAAAAGGGATGGCAACAGTTTGCTGGAGTCCGAGATTGAGATGAAAGTGATCATGATGGCTCAGCGATGGCTTCAAGAAATGGAGGCTGTTGCAAACCGAGAAGGCGGGTCATGTTGTGAGACGTCGAAATGCGTGCCGGTTCTTGCGAGATGTAGAGCTTGGGCGAGGCTTGGATTTGGCAAGCCCGGCTGACATGCTGCTGGCGCAGAGAAAGCTTGGGCAGCAGGAGCGGTGCCGATTGAAGACCGTTTCGGTGAAGTGGGTGCCGCTTGGCTCCACTGCGAGTATGTGCATTCGGCATCCCTAATCCCGCGCAGTTGCCTTCGATGCTTGCATTCGCGATGTTTCATCTGAGGCGAGGGATAGCAGCAGCTCAGCAGATCCACGGTTGCGTGTTCGAGGATCTGACACCAAACTTCATGGCCGGAGTTTACGACGTAGCAATGATGCTGCGTCGTTGTGGTGGTGATGCTGCTGCTGCTGCTGGTGCTGGGGGTGTTGGCCGAGATGACGCAGGCCTGTTAACGGTGATGATTAAAAAACTCAAGACCGCCGTGATGCAATAACTCACTCTGCAAGCTCTACTGCCTGGTTCAGGGATACCATGACAAACATCTGGTAAAACCCCGGCGGCCTGCACGGTGGGATGTGTGTTACTTTTGGTCATGTGTTTTGGATATTGGACCTCGCTTAGATGAGCACTGCCTCACTTGCACCCCCTTGCATAAGGATATTTTGATTTCCTGCGGGCTAGTATCAACCCCTTGGAGGCATCGCCTCAGAGTTTGAAGCAAGCCTTTCAGTCTGTGGAAGCCCTAGCGGAGCACCCCTTAGGGGAGCACCCCTTCTAGCCGGCCCCGACAGGTCCCGGAGCAACAACATTCGGCCACGGCCACGCATCGGTGCAGGTGGTGCGCCGTCAGGTCACGGAGGGACGGCGCCGAGGAGACGGATGATCAGAGCAGATCTCAACAACATCCAGGACCCACAGCAAGGAGACAGGCGGAGTTTGATATGCCATGCGACGAAGCAAAGGATTTCGGAGCTTGAAGGGGGGGCCGGACGAGTTAGAGCTCGATGAAATAGACTCGGACAACTGCCCGCGAAATGGGCAGATACAGACGGAAAGAAAAACAATCCCGGCATCTCGTTAACGACGGCGACGAGAGCGGTGGGAGGACGACTCCTTGGCATCAAGCCGTCTGACAAAACACAACCGGGGAACCGGTCCCTGGAAGGGAACTGTCCGGACGCTGCGGTGGACTTACCGTTGCGATGCATAGGGATAAACAACTTAGCTCAACTTACTCTAATAGGAAAGCCGATCCCTGTCTCTCTCGCACTCCACTTGTACATGCATTCATGTTTACGTCTATTCATACACAGCGGACTAATCACTGAGATGCAATGAAGCACAACTCGACTTGCGTGCCATGGCTAAGCACTCCACAAGGATCTTGTAGCCTAGCAGTCAGCGAAAAACGGAGGAAACAGGGGATCCAAGGCCTTCTTATCAGAGACTCCGCACGTCTCTGGAGCAGCCTTACACCGACCATGACCCACCTGATGGTCAGCAAAACCAGCAGCCGAGCCTGTAGTCCATTTCCAGAAAGTGCAGGCCACCAAGATGTTCACTGCAGACAAGCCCATGATGACCTGGCCAACTAAAGACACTCTTCAACAAGCAGGACGTGAGGATTGCACTCACGGCCTTACCCAAAGTGCCGTGAAAGGTGAAGGACTTGATCTTGTTCTGCAGTTTGACCTTGACAGAGCAGACTAACGGTCGAAGTAGAACCGAAGAGCTGGCATTGAAGTCGAGAAGCGATCTTCACCATACCGATGGCCGCTTGAAACAGCACGAGCAGGAGAGTGCTGTAGCCGATAAGGTCATGGATGACACGGGCTGGAGCGGCCCACTTCTGAGTGGTGAAGTTGTAGCCTCTGACTCGCACATGTGCATACACTCAGATCAACTCGACTCAAACACATACATACAAACATACATAAATACGGGTGTATTCAAACTAAATGTGTGTCTTGAATATGTGTAGAGTTACGTGTGTGTGTGTGTGTGTATATATAGATATATATATATATATATATATATATATATATATATTTTGCACACACCTACATAGCCCACATGCACACCAGTTTCCAGCCGCTCCTTAATTGTGTGCAAATGGGACATAGATGTTGTAAGATCTTTGCATGTCTCTTCGTGGTACGGTCCACTGACGTTGCACAAGGCTGGGAACTGCTGGGCTGCTGCGCATGAATGCTAGGGGGAATGACAAGGGACCGAAGTACTGCTTGATTGGCCAATGGGCTTTGAACATCGCCACATAGCCTCACGCAAGGATCATTCACAGACGCCAAGCAAAACTGCTTCCGGATTGGCCTCCCATCGCAACGAGCGCGGCAAGCGCCATGATGCTTCCATGCAAAGCACGCCTGGCCACACTCACGACAGTCTTGGGCTTGGGCTTCTCAGCCGATTGGCGTTGCTGCCTGAGGCCCTTCTCTTCGATGATGTCTGTGACGTAGACCCATCGCCCGAGCACCATCAGGCATGGGAAGGCAATCGACCTGGAGTGCAAAGCGGCTCGGAAGAAGCTGCACTCCTCACTAGGGTGGGTTGTTGGGCTCCGTTTACAACCGACAATGTCTGAAGGCTACCGCGCTGTCCAGTCCTGCTTCGGCCTGATCCGCTGCGCATGCGAGAAGTCAATAGAAAATCCAATTACATGCCAGCAAATTGGGACCATGGGCTCGTCCGTCGTGCTTTCGAAATGTCCAAAGCTGGTGCCAGGCTCGGCTGTGCGTTTTCACTAGTCCCCGCCAGGTGTGGCAGTGGTCTTCCCTTTTGCCGACACTGGCATCACTAAAGGCCAACTTTCCAACATCCCACCATGGCTTTGTGCTGTCAAAGCCACATCAGGATGGGATGCCACGCAAAGGCTTTGTCGAGAGTGAGACCTGAACCGAACAGCGGCGACATGCCGGGCGGGACTTTGTCATGCTCGCGCCTCCTCCAGGATGGTGACTGAGGAGACCAAAGATAACCTGCCACGAGCAGTCAAAGCAAGCACGGCGCTCCGGTCATGATGCAATTCCTTCGTCGACTCGCACTTCTTTTCGACTGCGCACACAGGGTCCTGGCATGCTCCAGACTACTCACGCACGAGATTTGCCGGGTATTGCCAGCTTTTGCCAGACTCAACTGATGGAGAGCGAAACCGAAAATCAAACAAATCCTCGGGTTCTGAGGGAGTTGCTGGCTTTGATTATATGCCAAACTGAGTTATCGGTGTACCCAACCTATTCGGGCATGCATATCAACCGAACAACCAATCCGAACCTGCGTTTCCACTGCAAAGCTCACATTCTGAAGCAGATTGTCATGCCAGCATCTCCAGATGGCATGGCATGGCAGCCGTAGCCGTAGCCACGTAGCTGCTCTAGACAAGTTGCTATGCTGCTCTGGGCTGCATGCGATGCTCGCATCGCGCCATAGCAAAGGATCGGCGGAGAGCTGATCTGAGCCGCAGAAAGCGACGCAGAAAGGCGGTGCCATGAAATCTTCGGGGGCATGGTGGGGACAGGAGGAGGCGCACTGCTGTGCCATGGATGCAAACAAGCGAGCAGGGATGACGGACAACGGAACCAGCAGCGCGGCCAGGAAAAACAGGCCACTCAGAACGGCGTTCATCTCACCTCGCACTTTCACGGCTTCGCGACTGGAGCACCCTCAAGCTGGGACACCACGCCCGAAAGAAGCTAATGATGTCAAGCCGCACACGCTGCCCGAAAGGGGCACCAGGATGGGTGCACTGGGCGAAGGGTTCAACAGGGAGGGTCCAGTGAGCCTGCAAGCATGTCAGGGGTGCTACGGAGAACTTCGTGGGCAAATATCATGTTCCGGAAGCTTTGAGCCAGTTCCAAGTGAAGCGAGTGGCGAGAAGATGTTAAAATCTTGCAATCTCCGGGAAACTTGACAAGCGGCAAAGCTCCCCTCCAAACGATTCCAACCCCATCTGCAGGGTCCTTGCCCTTCTCCTCGACGTTTCTCCTGGCGCCGGCAGAGACACAGATCCAGCGGCGCGGTCTCTGGGACTGGGCGCCCCGCCGCAACTCGCTGGAGGACATCAGCTCCTGCCCAGCTCCAAACGCTCCCCAGCTCGCCCCATGCAAAGGCACCAGGAGAACACGAGGTGAAGTGCGGCGCCTCGGCCAAGAAGGCCTTGAACTCCTGCAAGGCCCAGCGCTTTGTGCCACGCAGGCATGTCAAGCGCAGGGCCGTGCACGCGCCTGCTGCCGCTCTGTGCCTCAGAAACACGTTACCGAAGCCACAGCTCCGCAACTTTCCGGGTGCTGCGAGCCGGGGCAGCAGCTCTCGGGCTCGTCCACATGCAGCCAATGGAATCTGGTCCAAACAGTAGAGAGAACTCAAAACTCAAAACCGCCGGATCCACACTCCCGATCGCTCGATCGCTGATCGATCCTGCCTTGGCAGCTTGGACACCCCAACCAGAATTCTGTCCTAAGGAGCAAAAAGATCATAGAACTGCGTTTGTGTCGAGACCTGAAAACATCGTCGTGGTACCTGCGGAGGGTTTGTCTCCACCACTCGCGTCAGGCGAAACGTCTCTCGCAACCTCGCAAGTGCCAAACGTGTCCACTGTCCAGTGGGTTAGCCGATGAACTGCTGGACCCGTCGACTCAAACTGCTGCAACGCAAACAGGTGTACCTCGGTGCGAGCTGCCGTGCAGCGGCGACCAGGGCCAGGACGTAAGGGAGAAAATCAAGTCGATGATGCTGATCTTCACTTGGTACAGCGGTATGGAAATAATACCCTCGGCCGTTCATGGAAATTCGCAGCCGGAAGGGTTCACAGAAGAAAGCAGCTAGAGGTTCGCACGGCCCAGAAAAGTGACATGATGTAGACCTGCAGCATCTTGCAGGTTGGCCGACGCACAGAACCGAAATGAACCGAACCTGGGACTCAGAAGATTCAAGCTCTATCAACCAAGACCTCGAAGGCAGTGAAATTGTAGTAGAATGCGGTGAGAACCAGGCCACCAGCAACATTTACAACCTCAGGCGCGGCACCCCATCCCCAAACAAATATCGCTAAGCCAGCCGCTGAGCGAAACGTCACCGACCCTAAGCCGAAGACAAGAAAAATGAAGGCCAGTCGCGCGAATGCTTGGTCCTGCTCATGAAGCACACAGCGATGGCCCTTTGGCCCTCAGCCCTCCGGCTTATCCCGCCTTGGAGTCCATGGAACTCTCCCATGTTTGCGTCCAATTCTGCACCGCCTCGCTGGCAGCATGCAAGCTTTCCACCAAGCCGCCATCGCTCCGTGGACCTACGAGAAGGGAGAAGTATCGGCGGTTCGGCGATTGCGGTGGGGGCATCGGCATCAAAACATCAAACCAGTCGAGCTTTGATTCCGTCTGCATGCTGTACAGCTCTGGACTGCCTTCGAGTCGCCAACACAGGGCTCTGTAATGCCCGCAAAATGCTCAGTCGCCGAAGATCCTAAGGCTCGCCGCCCTCCTCCCTGTTGGGCACACATTCGGCGAGCAGCGGCGGCAGCCGCGGAGCGGCGCGGAGCCGAGAGAAGAGAGACGGAGTCTCTCGCCGCGCTTTTTGGCGCAGCCGCGGGTCTTCCCGCCACTCTCGGTGAAAGTGATGTCACAAAGTGCACTCTGAATTTTCTCAACTTCCCTATTGAAAGTTGTTGCACTGGGCTGTGGCACCAGCACAATCCGTCGAAAGCAACTGCTCTTCGCAGACATAGCAACAGCTGAAGTTCATTGTCACTCCTGGTTTAATCACCGGATTAAGGCCTCGCAGCAATTTCCAGCACTGCACTCGGAGGGCACACTCACTGGTACATGTGCGCCGTACCCTGCACAAGTAGGGCCGGTGCTGGTGGTTCAATGCTGCGAGCTCTGCCACCTGGGATGTGGTGTGGAAAGACTAGACGGCAATTCGTGCAATCCCTTTCCAACCCGGCTTTCAGCACGCAAGGAAAAGTTGCCTTGGCGAGACAATCCATTACCTGAGTGTCAGTTCACTGTCCTACTGGAGACTACACTCGCAGAATCAGAAAGCCAAATTGCATTCAAGTCCTCAAGCTGATCGAAGACGGAGCCCTGCTTTCCGTCGCCCTGAAGCCGACATAGCGGCTATACAGGCAAACGAAAGTGCGCTGCTCAGACCCGGACAATTTGGATCTGCGGATCCACAGACCAGTCCTTGATCTGGCCTTCAGCCATGAGCTTCAGCATCTCGGCCTCGGTCCGTCGCTCGTCGCGTGTGCACAGAGGTGAGCCGGGGAAGCAAAAGCGACGGCAGCAAAATCTCTCCGAGCATCTGGCACCAAAGCTGTCGTCTTGCACCGACAGACTCAGCCAGTTGTTTCGCTCGGCGAACCCCTCGAAAGGAGAAGCTGAGGCGTGCATGCCGTTGTCGCCTACGTTGGGCTTCTCTTTTAGGCCCAGCTCCTCCCACTTCGACAGTATCTGGCCCCGCAGAGACTCTGCTGGTGCCTCTGCTGGGTCCGTGGGCCCAAGTACCTTGCCACGGAAGTCGGCCCAGGACAGGGCATTCGCGTCCCACTCAACAGAGAAGTAGTAAATCGAGGACCCTGGCTTTGTGAATTTGGAGCGCATTGCCATGAAGAAACCATTGAAGATGTAAACTGGCTCTTTGCCCTCAACCTCGACGAGCCCGCAGTAGAAGCCGCCACCAAACTTGATCAGCTTCTTTGCAGCTTTTGCCTGCGACCAAGCAGCATCCATCTCGCCTGCATCGATTCCCAGGTGCTGGCAACCATCCATTGCATTGAACACCTTGCCCGACTTCAATGCCTCTTCCCATGATACGCCAAACTGTTCCTGGAACTTGTCGGCGGGTACATTCAGCTGATCGGGCTTCAGAATCGTGGCCTTCGATGCGATGGCATAGTAGTGCTGGTCGATGAGCTTCTTCTGGTCGATGGTTTCAGCTTTGAGAGATCCTTCCTTCAGAATCTTGATGCCCTGCTTCTGCAGCCCGGTCTTGGCCAGCTCCTTAACTTTCTCGGTCATTGCATGTGGCTTGATGAAAACGAACGCAGCGTTCATCAAGTTTCGATCCTTCAGCTCCAGCAACTTCTCCAAACAGGCTGCTGTGTCTAGATCTTCAAGCTGATCGAATACTGAGCCTTGCTTCCCCGGCGCAATATTGACTTGCGGATCCACCGACCAAGCTCGGATCAGAGATTCTGAAAAACCCCGCTGCAACAAGCGCGCGCCGAATGGATCGTCTTTGACGGGAATCTCGAGCCAGTTGTTTCGCTCGGCGAACCCCTCGAAAGGAGAAGCTGAGGCGTGCATGCCGTTGTCGCCTACGTTGGGCTTCTCTTTTAGGCCCAGCTCCTCCCACTTCGACAGTATCTGGCCCCGCAGAGACTCTGCTGGTGCCTCTGCTGGGTCCGTGGGCCCAAGTACCTTGCCACGGAAGTCGGCCCAGGACAGGGCATTCGCGTCCCACTCAACAGAGAAGTAGTAAATCGAGGACCCTGGCTTTGTGAATTTGGAGCGCATTGCCATGAAGAAACCATTGAAGATGTAAACTGGCTCTTTGCCCTCAACCTCGACGAGCCCGCAGTAGAAGCCGCCACCAAACTTGATCAGCTTCTTTGCAGCTTTTGCCTGCGACCAAGCAGCATCCATCTCGCCTGCATCGATTCCCAGGTGCTGGCAACCATCCATTGCATTGAACACCTTGCCCGACTTCAATGCCTCTTCCCATGATACGCCAAACTGTTCCTGGAACTTGTCGGCGGGTACATTCAGCTGATCGGGCTTCAGAATCGTGGCCTTCGATGCGATGGCATAGTAGTGCTGGTCGATGAGCTTCTTCTGGTCGATGGTTCCAGCTTTGAGAGATCCTTCCTTCAGAATCTTGATGCCCTGCTTCTGCAGCCCGGTCTTGGCCAGCTCCTTAACTTTCTCGGTCATTGCATGTGGCTTGATGAAAACGAACGCAGCGTTCATCAAGTTTCGATCCTTCAGCTCCAGCAACTTCTCCGAACAGGCTGCTGTGTCTAGATCTTCAAGCTGATCGAATACTGAGCCTTGCTTTCCCGGCGCAATATTGACTTGCGGATCCACCGACCAAGCTCGGATCAGAGATTCTGAAAAACCCCGCTGCAACAAGCGCGCGCCGAATGGATCGTCTTTGACGGGAATCTCGAGCCAGTTGTTTCGCTCGGCGAACCCCTCGAAAGGAGAAGCTGAGGCGTGCATGCCGTTGTCGCCTACGTTGGGCTTCTCTTTTAGGCCCAGCTCCTCCCACTTCGACAGTATCTGGCCCCGCAGAGACTCTGCTGGTGCCTCTGCTGGGTCCGTGGGCCCAAGTACCTTGCCACGGAAGTCGGCCCAGGACAGGGCATTCGCGTCCCACTCAACAGAGAAGTAGTAAATCGAGGACCCTGGCTTTGTGAATTTGGAGCGCATTGCCATGAAGAAACCATTGAAGATGTAAACTGGCTCTTTGCCCTCAACCTCGACGAGCCCGCAGTAGAAGCCGCCACCAAACTTGATCAGCTTCTTTGCAGCTTTTGCCTGCGACCAAGCAGCATCCATCTCGCCTGCATCGATTCCCAGGTGCTGGCAACCATCCATTGCATTGAACACCTTGCCCGACTTCAATGCCTCTTCCCATGATACGCCAAACTGTTCCTGGAACTTGTCGGCGGGTACATTCAGCTGATCGGGCTTCAGAATCGTGGCCTTCGATGCGATGGCATAGTAGTGCTGGTCGATGAGCTTCTTCTGGTCGATGGTTTCAGCTTTGAGAGATCCTTCCTTCAGAATCTTGATGCCCTGCTTCTGCAGCCCGGTCTTGGCCAGCTCCTTAACTTTCTCGGTCATTGCATGTGGCTTGATGAAAACGAACGCAGCGTTCATCAAGTTTCGATCCTTCAGCTCCAGCAACTTCTCCAAACAGGCTGCTGTGTCTAGATCTTCAAGCTGATCGAATACTGAGCCTTGCTTCCCCGGCGCAATATTGACTTGCGGATCCACCGACCAAGCTCGGATCAGAGATTCTGAAAAACCCCGCTGCAACAAGCGCGCGCCGAATGGATCGTCTTTGACGGGAATCTCGAGCCAGTTGTTTCGCTCGGCGAACCCCTCGAAAGGAGAAGCTGAGGCGTGCATGCCGTTGTCGCCTACGTTGGGCTTCTCTTTTAGGCCCAGCTCCTCCCACTTCGACAGTATCTGGCCCCGCAGAGACTCTGCTGGTGCCTCTGCTGGGTCCGTTGGCCCAAGTACCTTGCCACGGAAGTCGGCCCAGGACAGGGCTTTCGCGTCCCACTCGACCAGATAATAGTAGATCTCTGCACTCGGTGCCGTAAATTTCGATCGCATTGCCATGAAGAAACCATTGAAGATGTAAACTGGCTCTTTGCCCTCAACCTCGACGAGCCCGCAGTAGAAGCCGCCACCAAACTTGATCAGCTTCTTTGCAGCTTTTGCCTTCGACCAAGCGATATTTAACTGTTGCGCGTCGATTCCCAGATGCTGGCAACCATCCATTGCATTGAACACCTTGCCCGACTTCAATGCCTCCTCCCATGACACGCCAAACTGTGCCTGGAACTTGTCGGCGGGAACATTGAGCTGATCAGGCTTCTGCATCCTTCATCATTCGTTTCTGCTATCTGCAGAATACCAACAGCCACCGGATCCCCTGACAAACCCCATCCCGACTTCCAGCCATGCATACCAAGTTTCGTAGCTTTGGATGCGATGGCAAAGTAGTGCTGATCAATTAACTTCTTCTGATCGATTTTGTCCTTATCGAAAGAAGAGAGAGGTGCCCAAATTCCATGTCGCTGCGACAGGGGTGTGGATATGAAGGGTCGAGGAACATATATAAAGACATCCAACCGTTTCTCTCGTCCGAAAATGTCCAAGCTTCTCCTCTCAGGCTGCCTTCACGCAGGACTCGGATACCATGTTTCTGAAGACCAGCTTTGGCCAGTGCCTCGGAGTAGCCATTCTGCACATCCACAAGATTACGGACATACACATGCCGGCGAACTGTCGCACATGCCACGTGCCGCGTGCCACGCAGCGCGATCCGGCCTTCACTTTTTTTGTCACCTCCAGGCACAGAAGCGGGAGCCACCATCGACACACGCCTCATCTAGCAGAAGGCACCACGTCAGCCAAGGTGCAGCATGAGGCTTGATGAACACGAAGGCCGAATTCGTTGTCAAACTCTTCTCCTCCAAACCGTCGGGTCATCAGCGAAACTTAGTTGTCCCGTGACAGACCACTTCGAATCGGCACCCCGCCACTGAAACAACATCTGCTGTGAAATCCTAAAGTCCCTCTGCAACAGCCTCTAACGCAGCGTCCCTCCACAAGGTTAACACGTCGGAGCAGAACTCTTCTGAGCTGTTCATCTCCATCTGCAAAGCTCTTAGGTGCTGTCTCGGACAGCTTCCCCCGAAAGCTAACTTTTGCAAATCGAAATCGCACTCTGGCCTTGGATGCGGAGGATCCGGAGGATGAGGACTTATTTCCCATTGCTTCTTTGCCACCGTCGCCCAATCACACCGTTGCACAAACTTGCGGGATGCATGACTGAGTACTGTAGTAACTGTAGTAGTGATGCACAGCTAAACTGGAGGGTGCTGGAGGTCTTCAGGTTTGATGCTTACAGGCCATTGAGGCTGCGGAAAAACTCCAAGGTTAAATGCACGAGACTAATGAGGTCTGACACTGCTCTGCCGTCCACGCATGTCCACGCCTTCAAGCACAATGGGGCGATCGTCCAGTCTTACAAACTTCCCGACACCTTCGGCGAAGCTTGTACTTCCACTAAGTTGCGTTGCACGGGACGTAGCAGCAGATCCACTGAGTTGCCTTCTTGCAAATCACGAAGGGCCGCCGCCTGACCTTGGTCTGAGACTGACCGACGAAGCTTCGTCCGTATCATTCCTCGCCCAAAGACGCCGGCCCTCGTTCTGTGATCGCAGATCCTCAGAATATTGACAGTTTTCTGTTCTGTGCAGGCTGCATGCCGTTGCAGCCGGTCCTCAAGCTGCTGCTTAATCACTTCGAGGACTTCTCCCTCGGAGGTTGATCGAGTTTGCTGCAAGCAGATGCACTGAAACTATGGTGGCACAACCTGAACCTTCAAACAGTCGTGCCTCGGCATCTTGTACAGGGGACGTCGCTTCCATCGCATCATGGAGGCGACAGTGAATCTAACAGCAGTACGTACGTCAGCTTTGGGATGCGTTCCTTGTCCTCTGCAGGTGCTAGGCCATGAAGCCCAAAGTACGCCAACGGATGATCACTGAGATCTCCGCTTTTTTGGAGGGCGCCGCGGTTTCGGCTTTCGGTAGGGTAGGGCGGAACTCAGCAACTACCGAAATGGGTCCAAGGCTGAAGCTTTCAAGCACCTGCCTACGAAGCACTTTCCCTCCATGGTTTCTTTCTCTTCTCTTGCAGTGCTCCCTTTTGTTCTCGCTTGCGATCATCTCACCTTTGGCAACTCGGCCACGCTGCCCACGGCAATGGTGCCTTGGCGGTGCCAGCACACTACGCTCTCACGAGTGTCTAACTGTAGCGCAAAAAAGCCTTCCTGGGGACTCACTAAAAACTCTGCAACGAAATGCGCATAGCAGTATTGTCAAAGCACGGGTTACTCGTGGTTGCTCCATGCCTCAAGGCGCCCCGTTACCGCCAAGTTGGCACGGCTGTTCATGCTGGGATCTACTTACTATAGTAGCCTCCAACATCCTCTTTTGGTGACTTGTGGCCGATATCCCACACGGACCCTCTTCCCCCTGCCTCCATCTGTGCGCAGGGAGAGCTGTCCGAGTAGGCCATCGCCGGCTTCGAGCGGCACCTGGTGCAATCCGAAGATGGGACAGCAGATGCACCTCTTACACTGCTTTTCTTCACTCAAGTTCCATATAATCCGCTCATATCCGCTCTGCCGGATGCCGGTGCGGGCCGGGGCACTTCCCTGCCGGAGCAGATCTGCAGCACGCAGAGGGCCAGCGCAGGCGCCCGAATCACTTTCGGGCCGGCCTGGCAGAGACAGATCCAGGTTTCAGGGAATGGAACGACGTTTTACTCCCGCACTCCTCCTTCTTGTTCGTCCGAAGGTCCTCTGCCTGCTGATGCTGCCGATGCTTCGCATCTTTTGCGTTGGGACTGAGCTGAACACGGTTGCGAAGTGCCTCAATGACCTTCGACACCTCGCACCTTCCCAATTTCCCCGGGTTATGGTGTTTGAAGCCGGGAATAAGCTGTGAGGCACGCACAGCTCCTCCATGGAATGGTGGAGATGCAAGATGCACCTGTCACGGCTTCCCACGACACCATTTCGACAGCACGACACCATTTCGACAGACCTGTGCAAAGTTGCAGCCAAGACGCTTGAAGCCCTGACTCATCACCGGCGTCTCGCGGCAAGTCTCGACCAGGCGAATCTGACAGTCTTGCTGTTGTTGGCTTTTCGAGACGAGTCGAAGCCGGCTAAGGATTGATTGAGCCTGCGCTTTGAATTTGGCCGCACATCGGAGTGGATCCTGCAAAAGCCGCAAAAGCGGAAAAGAATATCTTATAAGGCATGGAATTTATGGAATCGAAACCAGTCAGCGCTAAAGGAACCATGTGGAAGGCCTGTCCTCGCTGAGCACGTGTCCCGACGTGGGCAAAGCACCCAACACTTTGAGTCGGGCCAAATCCCCTGGCTCGGCGCGTCGGACTTCCTTACTGAAGATGGCACAGAGGCTCTTGGATTTGGGCTCAAACTTACACGTGTCTCCGCCTGGTACTATGTGATATCAGACGTTCATCTCACATCAGGTGTGACGCGCATACTAAGTCATGGTTACGGCTACACTTGTTGTGTCGATGCGTCGGTCTGTGTGTGTGTGGGAGGGGATGCACCAAGACGCTTTTGCGTACGAAGTGCGAACGTACCTGCACGGTGCACCTGCGGAGAGCGACTCCTGCTGGTGGCCATGATGTACTTGCTTACAGTGATGTCATCAAACATGTTGCAAACCTGGCAAGCTGTTGCTCTATGTTGCTTTGTATTGTCTTGAACTGTAGTGTGCCGCACCGTGCCGTGCCGTGTGGTGCCGTGCCATGTGGTACAGCGCTGTACGTAACGTATCGTACTGAATCACTGAATCATGTTGTACTACATTGTGTTGTTGCGTTGTGTTGTGTTGTACTGTGCAACACTTAGTGCAACGCTGTAGTGCACAGTATTGTACGTGCTGTGCAGTCTTGACGTGTCTTGTCTGCGCTGGTCCGCTCTGCTCTGCCTGGACTGGCTTGGTCTGGGCATGGCACCGGATTGGACGGATGGATGCACGTGTGTACAATTATGGACGTACGCGCCTGTTTGAGCATGCATTTCCCTGAGCATCTTCGCCGAGGTTCTTGTCCCCAGGCTTGGATGGCAAGGACCTGGTGACACTGCATGCCCATGGAGCAGGATCTACGCTCATGAAAAACTCAACAAAACACTACGACAGCAGCTGGCACTCGAAGTTCGACCCCAAATGGAAATTGGCAGCATATCACAGATCGAAGCTGACTTAGTCTCGAGCTCCGCACTCCTGACCGGACCTGGATGTCAGCTGACATGCTTTCGCATACTGTCGCTGGCTGGTTTTGCTAACGCTTCGCCACTGGGCCCTGCTGCGGCGCGTGCTGAAGCAGGGAGCCAGCCTCGTGCTGAGCCACAGTATGGCAGCACGCTACACCGCACTGCACTGCCAGTGCGACAGGCCTCCACATCCCCTGCCTCCACCCGGCAGAGAACGAAGGAGCTGTTGCCTGCCACGAGAAGAAAGCCGGACATGAGAGCATCTACGGCTCTTATGGTTGGCTCGCCATAGTGCCTTGCTTCTCGCAGCCCAGTACGCTCACTCGCTGCGGACCGCCGTCTGCATTCTCTCGACGAACCTCTGAAAATCGTGAGTGCCGTAAGGGCAAGGATGCCCTGTGTTTATACCCCACGCAGCAGTCTCGGCGTTGAACCGAAACCGGACAAGTCTCGAGAAGCTCCAACAGTGATCCTAGCAGCGGTCACAGGCTTTGATTGATTACTGCGGGCATTGCAAAACATGCCCTGAAACGACTCCTTCAGAGTACCAGCCGTCGCATGCGCCACAGACCAGGGGCTCCTAAAGGGTCGTCAGCACGAGGCGAGAAAGCGACACTGCGTCGGATGTGCTGGCCGGCAGTGCAGGCACACTTAAGATGACGACGGTCGAATGTTTTCTCTTCTAGGGAGCAGGCGAGCGGCAAGGGCATGGCACAAACGTAGGACGAGCACGAGATGCTATGAAGGGAGGGAGGGCTTCTTGTCCCTGCTAGGTCCTAGGTCCGCGTGGCCTCTCCTCCAGGACGTTCGTGCCATGGAGAGCGCAGACAGGGACGAAGCGAAGGCTGTCCGAAGGGAAACCAACCTGAATTCTCTTGCCGCTGCTTCACAGAACAACTCCGTGTGGATTAATCCGAATCCGGCAGAGTGCTCGGCCTCAACGACAGCGGCCTGGCGAAAGATTCTGCTTTGAAGCGTGGCCCGAGGATGCGCACGGGCTCTGTGCTCTCGCATCGCTGGGGCTCCGACCGCGACTTTGGCTTTCACCGCCTCAAACCGTTCGCGGCACCAGGGTGCCTCCAAAATTGGCCAGACTCCGTTACGCCTCCAACGACGACGTCTGCAGCCGCCTTGCGTGCATCACCGAGCTTGTTCACGGCAATGACCTGGGGATCGAGTGACAATCTGAGGAGGTTTCCACTCGAATCGCCGAGAGCTTGGCTAGGGAAGACATGCCAAGGCCTGGAAGATCTGCGAATCGAAAGATGCTGGAAGCAACATGGCGATTCAGCAAACTAGGGCTTGAGGCTGCGACACTTCGCAAGAAGGCAATGCTCGAGCAGTTGCCTCAAGTTGGTGGGTAAGTATGACTTCTGTGGCGAGTCCGATGACTTGGCGGCCGCTCCTGCTTGAGAAGCTGAGCTGGTTGCCCGCCACGGGCGATGCTCGAATCCAACCTGGGCCCCAGATCTACAGTAAATAGTAGGTGGCTCGGCCATTTCCTGGAGGCGATCGGTGCTACTCAGGTTGCGACTCCGCTGCTTTGGCGGACCTGGGAAGCAGAAGCAACCCCTCAACGCGTTAACTTCTGCACCGAAGCAAAACTGCCGAGGAGCGAGCACGACAAGGACTGCAGCATCAGATTGACACAAAGCGCTCCAAGCCTGCATCACGAACATCTTCGATCATCTTTGGGCCTACGAGTCACGAGCAAGATTCCTCGAGTGAAGTGCCTGTGCGACGTTGCTTCGATGCCCTGGAACGTCCAGCAAAGTGAAGCGCCGGCCTCACACTCATGAAGTCGGCCTCACTTGGGCGGCGCGGGACAAATTTGCCAAGCCTTGTGTTGAGCAACGCTCCGCCAGAAGCTCACCGGGCTGCTGAGGCGCCTCACCACCGTTCAAGCTGCATCAAAGCGCCCTGCGGCCTTTCGGGCCTTGAAGAACTTCTCCACACAGCGCTGGTCCCAGGCCCCGCACCTCCAGTGCCACGGCAACACATCCATCGCTTCGCGACCTTCGGCGACCAACTACCAAGCCCACAGCGCACGCAGAAGCGCCGCGAACAGCGTGGACCTTGAAGAAAAGATGGCAAGGCTGGCAAGCACACGTCACACCTCCACTTGGTAAGATCGCAGCTTTCCAGCACCAGTATGTCCCAGAATCGCCATCACTATGTGCTGCCTTCTGAGGACAAAGCTCAAGAAATGCAGCCCAGCCCCGTTCCGGCATGGCCCGCCATCTATTCCGGTAGTAAAGGTCAGCAGCAACGCAGTATGTCAGTATGGCCTTGCATCTCTCTCTGGCAGGCTCGCTGCGGCCTCACGGAAAAGGGCTCCCAAACGCGTCCCCTCTCTGTATCTCCTCTCGGCCTCTCTGGCCGCGCGGAGCTTCGAGGCCCAGTCTCCCTTGGCCTCCTCAAGAAAGAGCTGGCGTAGCCACTCCGAAAGAGTTACGGGCACTGTGAGCACTGGCCCCCCGAAGAAAATGACCAATTCAAAAACAACTTGATCGAAAACCAGATCAATGACCGACCCAGGAATCAGGAAAGAACATCAGAAAACAACTGGGAACAAAATAGGATCTGCATAGGCATAGAAACAACGGGAACACAGCATGTACTATTGAATGTCGCCATTGAACGTCCCATGAGTTTCCAGTCTTGTTTCAATTCCGGATTTCACATGATCTCAAGATCTCAAGGACCTGGAAAATAGACACCGAGCATACAAACAACGTGAGCACGTACACTATAATCATTCTTCCAATCATCCTTCCAATAGCTTCTCATGATTTGTCTCATCATTTGTCAATTGTGTCCGTCATTTCCCGCCATTCACTGGACCTGGAGAGACACCAGACACCGAACCCTACAAACAAAAAAGGATGGGAATAAACCGAGATCCGAATGAGCATAGCGGCCTAGAATCAGCAAGAACAAGATTTACACTATGTTCCCAATATTTTTCCACAAGCATCCAATACTTTCCAGAGGTCTGTCGAAGGTCTGGGGTGGTCACGCCGCTGGACGAACCTGGGCTGGGCCCTTCCGCCGTTATCTCCTTTGGGGCATCCCCTTCTTTTGGGCCCTGACATCTGCTGCAAGCCCAACCAGGAAGAAAACCTCCGGAGATACCTTTCCGATGGCAACCTTTTTGCACGGCGTCCAGCTGGCTGCGCCGGCTCAGCCCGAAATGAATTCAGCATGTGAGTACGTGCGACCATTTGCGCATGTCTCGTCTATGTCCACAGACACAAAATGCGGCCCGGAGAATTCGGTTCTGCATGGCCCTGATAATTGTTGCTGTGTACCCGAAGGTTTGCCGCTGCTGTATGCCCTGCAGCGTGGCCCAAAAATGGGCCCTGGTTCTTAGCTTGACCGATTCAGACAGTAGTAGTAGTAGTAGTAGTAGTAGTAGTAGTAGTAGTAGTAGTAGTAGTAGTAGTAGTAGTAGTAGTAGTAGTGGTAGTAGTAGTAGTAGTAGTAGTAGTGGTAGTAGTAGTGGTAGTGGTAGTAGTAGTAGTAGCAGTAGTAGCAGTAGTAGCAGTAGTATTCATTCGGTCGCTGCATCGGATCCGTCGACGCATAGCGGGGACAGACTTGTGTCCGGCGACTGGGTGTCGCGCCATTGTTTAACGGCTCCCTTAGCTATAAAGAGCTGCTGCCGTCAGCTGGAAAATCATCGCCAATCCACGTCATTAAGGTCGAATCGTCATATGCAAGATGTGGTTCCACCGTCAGCCTTCGTTCCATACACCTCTTCACTATGTACAGGCCTCGAGCTCAGGCTCCCTGGTGACTGATCTATAGACTGCGGCGAAGCAGTAACAGACACAGTCACTGGCAAGTACGATGTGCTGGTGTGCCGGTAGATGTCCTTTGAAAGCCTGTCCGTAGCCGCATCGATGGGTCGCTGCAAGCCCGACGCCGAGGGGGTAGAGGTTGGCGTAGTAGGCTCGAAACCCAAACTCCCCGAACCCAAATCCAAGCTGAAGATGCAACGTGTGCAACGGACCTAAGCGGGCGGGTACAGGGCCTAACGGGAAGAAGCGTTGGGACTAAGGAGGCAGGGGTAAGGCAAACTAGGATGGGTTCATGGTGGCATGGTGGCATGAGTTCGCGGCGGCTTCGGCCGGCAGCTATGCGCGCCGTATTCGCTCCATCAGGGAACGTTGCCATGGTTGACCTGGGCGCTTTGCATGTGGATGCTCACTCGGTTTACGAGGGAGCCGTGGCATGAGAAATTGCCTCGCATATGGCAGTACATGCAATCCCTGGTGTTGGGGTGGGGTCTTTTCCGTCGCGACTCCGGCTAGTCCAGCTACCCCTGCGAACAGTCGGAGCAGTCGTGCGGCATGATCAGACCGCTGGCGGAACGAAGCCCAGATCCACAAGGTGGGCGATCTGGTGCGACTGAACTGTAGCAATGTGACCCGGTGCATATGCTATCAGGACCACTCTGTTGCCACCCGTCCATGGAAGCGTGGAATGCCAGTGAGTGCGTCCCGGGAACAGGATAGCATGGCCGGCCGTTTCCCACACATCACCCGGACGGAGATCATCGTCGCATTCCTCGAAGTGCTTGCCATTCTCCCTTTCGACCCAAAGGCCACCCTCAAGGTGATGAGAGAGTCCCACCAGGAGAGAGTCATGGTCCGAGTTCCAGCGGTCTTTGTGCGGCAGTGTGCGGTTGTCCACACCCAGTGTAAGCGCAGACCATTTGTGGCCCGGGTACACCGCCATGATCAGCATGTTCAGGACTCGGCACACATTCGGAAAGAGCTTGGTGTACTTGTAGTAGCCGTGGATGCCGCCTTTGACATAAAGTCCTAGATTCAGCGTGAGGCCTGTACCATGCGCTCGTTCGTCCGGCTCCAGGGGGAGCAACGGGAGCAGTAGGCGAGCCAGCGTCCACGGCTGCCCAGAGTAGGTATTGAGCGCATGCCATGCAAGAGCCTCCGCATCGTGCATCGAGGAATGCACGCATCCATAAGGCGGCGGCAGCGACACACAGAGACCCTCCATCGGCAGAGCAGTAGCAAGCGTGTCCGCGTAGGTCAGGAAGCGAGACTTCAAGCTTTCTGGTAGTCGCTGGCACGCAAAAGCTACAATATCATTGCGCGGGGAGGTAGTGAGGCTGGGCGGGATGATGTGCGAGGTCCAATCCTCCAGTAGCTGACGCAATTGCGTTAAAAGCAACCTTTCTTCCAGCGCCACCTGATGCAGGATGGGTGGGAGCACAACATGTTGAGCCATTGCTCCGGCAATTGTACACCCGGCACGATGTGGCCTGAGGAAACCGTGCCGCTATGTTGAGACGAATAGGCTAGGTGCAGGAGACAACAGAAATGAAGACAGCTGGTATTTGCACAGACACGAAACGTGCATGACACCAATGTGCACTGAGTGGCAGGCATTTGCACAGGACCCGGCACGGATGCCCAAGCGGTCCCGGCCCAGTGGCTACCTAGACCACTAGGCTTGAGGTGTGCTGCTGGCGAGCCAAGGTGCACAGGGGGGTGCGTGGTTCCCGAGACATGGTTGAGAGATACTGTACAATCAGCAGGCAGACAAGCAGCAATGTGACGAAATGTTTGAACTGAGTATGTCAGAGGTCGCAGAGTAACTACTCTTCGGCAGTCTGCGGAACATTGTCGGCGGCCCATGCAAGAAGAACTATGGAGCTCTAACTAGCCCAACCAAATAGCTGTTGCACTGTAAATCACGCAAGTCAGCTGGCCGGGCCGGCCGAGGACTGCAATCGTCGTTGCATATGTGGAACTGCCATGAGGCGCTACGTGTGCCACCTTGCGGGTAACATAGTGCTGCCTGGTAGTGCCCACTGTGAGGAGTGATGCCATGGTGGTAAATGATGAAGGCTACCCGAAACTGCTGGTGGCACAACTCAGTGTCATGGTCATTGACAAAAATAGGCAGAGCTACCCCCTCTCCTGGCTGTATGGGGAAAACCTGGGCATCCTCGACAGGCTGTCCCTCATGAATGTTATAGCGCTCCAGCTGGAAAAGGACTACACCCGAGTGCTGAGCTAGTGCCTGGATGGAGGGGGCTTGCCTGGACCAGGCATCAATTAAGCTTTGCAGCGTGGGGCCACCGAGAGGTAGCAGGATGGGCGCAGCCAAAGGACCTGTCACGGTGACGACACAGGGGTTGCTGAGGCGAGATTGCCACATTCCCGCAAACGCTGGAGGCCCTGCACGGTCTAGCACATGTGTGAGAAACTCGCAGACGTCGTGCTGCATGCTAAGTCGCCGCCAACCGCCTAATAGTGGTTTCCATGGGAGACAGCTTGGTAAGTACGGCCTACCAGAACCCTGCAAGGGCTTGAGGGCGGCCTTTGCAAGCCCAGCGCACGCCAGCGGCGAATCGGTGAGCATGCCAAGCCAGCACAAAGCCTGCGCCGTTGAGTTGAGGTAGCACACTGCGTGAGGGTTTTTAAGGCGGGCAGGCATAGCGCGTGCAGGGGTGGAAGGTACAGGAAGCTGAAGCTGAACAGGATGCTGTGGCAGACCCAGCCTGGGCCTTACTTCTGGGGCTTCCCGCCGTTCTGGTTGCGCCGCCATTGGTTCTTGCGGCGAGTCCAGTCCGTGAAGCTGGTGTTCAAGTAGGCCTCCTCGAGCTCGGACGCCATCTTTGACTTCTGCATGCGTTCCGGTCGCAAACGAAGTCCGAGGAGCTTGAGGGCACCGCAGTAGCTCAGCGCACTCAGTGCCATGAAGGCTTCCACCGAGGCCTGTCCTCGAAGGCTGATGGCCATCTTGAAGGGGACCACCTCCGCTTGTGTCTCCTCGCCGAGTGGGTGCGTGGCCCGGAATCGCAGGAGCACTTGGGGATCGCACAGTGTCTTCTGAAGCGTGGAGACACAATGCAACACTCGCTCGTGGCTGAGCGGCGGCTTCTCGTCCTTGACTTGTGCTCTGGCTTCCGGGTCCCATCGGTAGTAATGCCACATCGGCGTGAGGGCTGTGGCGCCCTCCGACAGCCAGCCCACCTTCATCAGCCGCTCGCGCAATCCATCGTCTGAGATCACCAAGTCCAGGACTTCGTGAAGCTTCTGGAGCAGGCCCCCTAGCAATATGATGCGAAGAGATGTCGTCACCGTCCCCGCTTCGAAGCCCTCCTGCCACTTCTGGCCGGCTTCCCTCAGAAGCTGGAGGGTGTTCTGCTCCGTCACCGTGTCCACGAAGAGCATGAAGCAAGTGTCCGCCCGAAAGCGGCCCATTTCCTCCTCCAATCGGAGGGTCAGCTTGGTCAACGTGCGCAAAAGATGCGTGGTCGCCTCGTCGAGCACAGCTGGGTGCGTGTCCTCCTCCTGCTCGTTGTCCCAGCCCCTCCACTGGCTTTGGCCCTTTCCGTAGGAACCTTTGTAGGCTGGTTTGGGCCATTTGTTCTGGCGATCTGCGTCCGCTATGGTCTTGTCCTGCCCCCGCTTCTCCTGACCCGATTGGTCGGTCTCCATCCGCTGTGGCAGCTTGCCCCACACGTCCTCGATCTCCTTCCGTGCCACGGTCGCCTTCTCCATCTCCGCGAGTCCCGTCGCCATGGGAGCGGTCCTGTGCGTGCGTCACGGTCGCCACTGCAAACTGATAAAGCACTGGACACTTGGAAACATGTGTGCGTTGGTCCTTGAAGTGCACACCACAGTATGCACACGGTGAAGTGAGGTCGAGGCCAGCACTTGAGCACAGGCTACTAGCAGCCGGGCTTTGCTGCCAGTATGCGGGATGTGTAAGGCGGAGGTGCTGCTTGATTCCAGGACTTTTAAGTGACACCCACTGGTGACAATATACACAGTGCGATCGAAGAATCTGCAGATACTTTCGGTCGGATGCAGTGCGCTTCCAGTTTTGTCGCAGACTGTCAAGGAAGTTGTCATCGTCTATCAAAGGGCTATCAGCAGCAGCTACGCGGGGGATCCGGCACGGATGCCCAAGCGATCCCCCCTGGCCCGAAACTCCCAACGTCTCGGGAACAGATGCAGCCTGCTCGTCCTGTGCCGGGATGCGCCCACCGTGCAGTACAGGACATGCGCCCCTAAGGTGTTTCTGCAACGCTTCGACTCTGGTGAAGGTGCATCGGCAGTGCCGACATTCTGGAAGGCCATTAACGGTATGCACAGTGTATTGTTCAGCTTTGGGCTTGGTAGCTTGCTTCGGGTGGGGACCATGCTGTTTACTATGGTGGGAGAGCATGTGCCGCATATTATCGAAGTACTGTCCGCACGTCGGACACGCTACACCGACTGTGTCACTGCAGGGAACCAGCTGATAGCCTCGTGCGCTAGTATGGTGTCCAGTAGGCGTAGTGAGATGCCTGAGCTCAGTCAATTGGGCCTTCAGAGCAGTGACACTGGCCGGGTCCTTACATACAGCAATCCTTCTATGCAGCAGCTCTGTGAGGGCTTCCGCCGGGCTGGAGACTTTGAGGCGCTTTCGGAGGGAGAGGGTGCTTTCATGAGTAATGTGGGCAGGTGAGTGTGCAATGGCTCTCAGATGCCGGGAATCCAGCGCATCCAATCTACGAAGCACGGCCTCCGTAAAGCCCGTAGCATGAAGCCCGAAAAGCAGAGAGCTTCGCACACAAGAGAGGTACAAGCTGAGTCGCCGCTTGAGTGCGATGCGTTTGCTGTGCAGAAGCTTTGCTAGCCGCATGCGATTGGCAGACGCAGCCTGTTGTCGGCAGGCCAGAGTCTGCGACTCGAAAGCCCCGTAGGAGACCTGTACACCAAGGTAACCGAAGGCAGAGACTCGAGGAATCAGCAATGGTTTGTTAGGCGTGCCAAAGTTGATGCAGGTTTTGCCAGCGCGCATAACCGTGTGAAGCTTGATCCACTTCCTAGCTAGGGACCCTCTAAGACCAAGAACGACCGAGGACTTTTCGGCGTTAGCTACCATACCACATTCCTCGAGAAGCTGAAAGATTTCTCGCACTGTGCGGCACATTTGGGCTAAGTCAGGCTGCCCGAAGATACGCCAAGCCAGGTGCGTATCATCTGCGAAGCACGTCATCAGCTCGTCAACCCATTGGGGCGAAACCCTGGTCTTAAGCTCGGCCATGAGCCACACCGTAAAGAGGCTGTACAACATTGGGGACACTGCACATCCCTGCCTAACGCCCTTTTTAAGTGGGAACCGCCCTTTGTATTGATGGTGTCGGAGCTCGTAGGAACATTGCTGGTGTATCTCAAGCAGGATTCGCTGTAGCCCTGGGTTGACGCCGGCATGCTGTAGCGAGCGCTGCAAGACATCACGTGTGAGGTTGTCGAAGGCTCTACTCAGGTCAATGCCTATCATCACCGCCCCGTAGCAATTACTACTGACCTCTCCCGCCGCCTTAGCGTGAACACTAAGAGCACCCGATTTAATCCTAGAACGCGTCTCCCGACAGTGGCTAATGACCCGTATGATAGCACTGTCGATGGACTTGCCGGCTATGTACGCAAATTGCGGGGCTGCCTGTAGCAACTCATCAACCTGTGCTTGCAGCTGCTCTCTAAGAACCGTGGCGACAAGCTTGGAGGCAGGGTCCTGTATGCCTATGGGCCGTAAGTCCTTGGGAAGTCTAGTGGATTTGTTGGGTTTGGGGAGCAAAGTCAGGCTACAATCGGTGATTTCGCTAGTCAGCTTAAGAGGTCGGGAGGAAGTGCTCTGCGCGTAGTCCCGTGCCAAGCTTGCCGAAAACAGGTCCGGCAGGGCGCGCCAGATCTCTGGCGGTGCACTGGTAATTGGAACAGCTTTGCGAGGCTTTAGTGTGCTTATTATGGCAGATACTAGGACATCAGCGGTGATGGCAGGCACAACCTGGGTATCATCGGGGCTGAAGGGGTTCGGGTCCGAAAAGGCTTTACTGAAGTATTGAAGGATGGCTTCAAATTGGTGGGCCGGTTTCAGCATGCTCCCATCAGGCGCTCGGATCAGGACCCGCTCCATGCGTCGCTTTGGGGCCAGGATTTTGGTAATCTTGTAGAGTTCACTTAGCTGGTCTTTAGAAGCGGCATGGGCTGCACGGTCAATTAGATCATGCACTCGCTGCCGGCGAGATTGCACACTGGCCTGCCGTAGCGCTTTGCTGGCTGCACGGAAGGCAGCAAAGCGACGCCATACTTGAAAGATTCGCCTACCCCTAGAATTGTGCCTACCAGTACGGCGCCAAGTTCGGAAAGTTTCCCACATGTGAGCTACCGCATGTTGGACCTGCTGGGGAAGATGAGGAGTCCTACGGGGGTGCTTACCGGGTGGGAAGAAGCGCTGGCAGACCTGCAGTGTAACCCGGTTCAGTGTGCTCACCGGTAGCACGCCAGAAGAGCACGCCGCCTGGCGAACGGTATGGCAGAAATCAGTCCACTTTGGAGGGTCATCCACTGCACAAGTTCGTAGGGACGCTAGTGAGTACGCGGGTGAGGCAGGGGTCCTACGCTTATTTAACCTCCAACTACTAACCCAAGGGATGCTGCCCAAGACTGGTCGATGCTTGCCTCCCAAACGCCACGGCGCCAGGTCTAGGGGCAGTGGCACTGCTCGACGCGCCTGCGGATCGGCCGCGCTACGGCGTGTTCCTATGAAGTCAATCTGGCTTCGGATACGACCATTGACAAAGGTGGCACAAATCCCTGGCCTAGCACCGCTCCAAGTATTGAGAAAGCAGATGTCGTGTGTTCGCAGCAGGTTCAGCAAGTCCTCATCCGGGGTGCGAGAGTTGGGGAGCACCCCACTACCCACATGCACGTCCAAGCGGCAGCAATGAGAGTTGAAGTCGCCGGCCAGGAGGAGTACGTTCCGTCGTGGTAGGGAGTCCAAAGTACGGCCGAGTTGGGCCCAGAGTTTGCTACGATTGGCTGCGTTGCTTACCCTATCTTTGGTTTGCTTGACCCACTGATAAACCCCAACAATGTCCACAGAAGCATCCTGAAAAGGGTTATGTATACGAACATGGACCAAGCGGCCTGGGATGACATCCCGAAAGTCTAGATCTTCAGCACCAACGATACGTTCAGAAACACAAATACAGATCCCAGCGTAGCGCGTGTGTGGCGAAGGTGAAGATATAAAGTGCCATCCATCTCGCGTCCAGGTGTTGGGAGTGCGCCCCATGCCCCAGTGTGTCTCCTCTAGAACCACGATGTCCGCTTGCTTTTGTGTGGTCAGCCAGGACACGTAGGTGTCGAAGAGATCCGCGCTCATGCCGCCAATGTTGTATGTGATTATGCGCAGTCTGGGGTATCGACCCTGTGCGGTCAGGTGAGTACGCTGTGTATTCGGCGTAGTCGTGGGCATAGCAGCGCTCTGTGCACCCAGTGAGGCGGCTGTACGCCACTGTCCCCTGTACCAAGTTCCGCCGTGCTTTCCTGCCCGGGCTCGAGCCCTGGCAAACGAGCGTTTCCGCGCCTTTGTCATAGTAGAATCGTTAGCATATCCAGAATGTTTTGCCTCCGAGGAGGCTCCCCAGGTGTTTCTGGCTGGCACCTGAACCCTCGGGTCAGTGGGGCAGCTATAATCGCCTTGTGTATGATCATCAAAGATACCCCACCCTGGGAATTGGGACCCAGGCGGCTTGGCTTCGTGAGAGCACATGGTAGAGCTGATGTTCGTCAGTCGAAAGAGAACAGCGAAAAGGAACCCAGAGAAAATCATCGCACACGAGAGGGCCCTACTCACACCAGCTGCGCTCAAGCCGAGACCCTTAGTAGCAGTAGTAGTAGTAATAGTAGTAGTAGTACTAGTAGTAGCAGCAGCAGCAGTAGCAGCAGTGGTCGTCGTCGTCTCGTCGACGTAAGTAGTAGTATAGTACTGTAGCAGACTGTAGCAGCAATATCGAAGTAGTAATTAAGCAGAAAGGATTTAATTAAACCACTCCTATGGATGACTGCGGCGACACCTACGAAGGGCTATGGCTCGACTTGGCCGGGTTCCCCTTCCGCGCACCTTCCGCGGACCTTCCGCGAATTGCCAGTACCCACCCACAATTTTTGCCTCCAACGACAACGCTTCGGAACTGGCAGTCTTCGTACTGGTAGTGGTCGTGGTGACGTTCAGCCGTAGTGGTAATGTTGCTGGCCGCGCTGGGAGTAGGAGTACAAAGATCCCCCAATAAGCAAATCTTACAGCTAGACTGCGAAGTTTCGGACATAGTGGAGACAAAGATCTCCCAATGAGCAAAGCTTACAGACTGCCAAGTTTGGGACATAGTGCAGACAAAGATCCCCCAATAGGCAAAGCTTACAGACGTCGAAGTCTCGGACATGGAGTGTAGTAATCTGTATATTCCTTTAGGCTTCCGATCTTGTCTGTGTGTCAACGTAGATGCCGTATCTTGCAAGTTTAGCTTATGCTCTACAACCTGTTCATGATTCAGACCTTCCGCGGGAGCTTCCGCAGCCACATCGCTTCCAACCCTTCCGCATCCTTCCGCGCCCACAGTCCCAAGCCAATTTCAGGTATCCAAGAGGATTAATTTCCACGTTAAGTAGCGATAGATCTTCCCAAAATAAAACCGCAGCTCATGTGGAGTCCCCTTTAACAGCGCACACGCAACACTCCGCGACACACGCGAATGCGTACGGACGCATGCGAACGCAAAAACAAAGTGGTTGGTCACCCCCATTTACCCCTTAACCCGAACACTTAAAACGGGAACCCTTCTGCGGAGCATTCCGGAAAAACTCGTTGTATTACCTCGCTATCAACAACAACTCCCTCAATCCACCTCATCAGCCCTCGCAACTTGCCGCACATACCAATGGCAGGCTTCAATCAGAAAGGCTGCTTGGAATCCAGGCGCAGTGGTCGCACGTCTACGACAGCGGCGTTACATTTGGAAGCTGCCGATGTCTGGGTTGTTCTGTGTGGAACCCGGAGGCACGGTGAACAAAGCTCATGATTGAAACGCTGGATGAAGGCTGTATAAAGCTTGAGGTCTTCAAGATACCACCGCTCAGATTGTCATACATGAGGTGACGAGACATGCATGTTGCGTAGGCATCCATCCCGATCCCCGTCGGTACCGCAAACTACTTTCCTTTATAATGCAGCTGGGGGCCTCTGGACACAAGGATTGGAGACCCACTTGCGTAACTGCCACATTTGTGAATTCGATGCAGTGCCGGCCCATTAACGCGTATGCCTAATTCATGCGTAGGTTGCAGATACTCACTTGATTGCTGCACATGTTACGGAGTACGGAGAAACAATATTTGCATTTTGCTTTCAAGCGCTCAGCGGAACGGCCCAAGCGATGGGACAATTGAAAGTGACGTTTCAGGGACCAAAAACATGCTGCTGCTATTACAATGGAAAACCAACGACAACAACAACAACAGCAACAGCTACTACTGAGACTTCAAGTGATGCTTTGGCATGCTTTGAGAAACGTCCAAAGGCGTTCCATAAATTGGGGTTCTAGCGATACAACATGTAAGACGTAAGGATAATATCTGCTGTAATTCGAAAGCAGATTCGCTTTTGAGTTGCAAACAGAAACCAGTTAGGTTCTCATTGGTTGGTGAAAAAACTTCAATGTGGCCTTAACTTTCTCAATGCTTTTCAGGTCCCCAAGGATAGGTCTTAAATTGTGAATGGCTTTTATAATGCTCAAGACCCCTAGTCATGGTTGGTCTTCAACTGCAAAGTCCGAAACATGGGGTTTAACAGTGAAATTTTGAGATGCATTAAACTTCCGCTTCTTAGTGTTTCGGATTTCCTGTTTTTTTTAGGGCTTAGGGTTTGCCACTCATTTTAGGGTATGCGGTCTGCCCATTTGAACGCTCAGGGCTTCCACCTCCTTTTGAAGTTCAGGGTCTCCCACTTTGTTAAGGCTTAGGATTTCCTTTTCCAGCTCTTTTTCGACTTCGAGGTTTGCCACTCCTTTTGGGCTTTTGAGTTGCCCACTCCAAGGGTTTCCTATTATTTTGTGGGTTTGGGGTTTCCCACACCTTTTGGGGTTTAAGGCTTTCCACTTCCCTCTCCTTTAAGGGCTCAGGGTTTCCATGTCTGATCTTTTCGGTTTTACGGGTTCCCAGTCCTTTTCTAGCTTTCAAATTTTTTTCGGGCTTGCGGCTTCCCAATCTGTTTAAGCTTTCGACTCGCATCTACGGTTTGCCACCCGTTTAACGCTTTAGGGCTTCCCGGGTTGAAGGTTTTTGAAAGTTGCATGAGTGTCTTCAAGCCAAAGCTTCTGAAAGCCGCCAAGCTACAACTGGCTTGGCCATTTCTGGTCCTCCGTGACGGGGCAGAATGAACAATGATGGTGCATGTGAGTGTTGCATCAGTTCGTCTGTGATCCTGTTTGTACACATACTCCTGCAGACTCCTGCACGGCTAGACCCCGCTTGAAGGCTCGAAGCGAAAAGATGCAACAAGCCCTAGCACTCATCCGTAACAGAAGCCGCAGTTGTTAATTCCTGTAGCGATCACCCCGGACCCGAACCGATTGAGGAGAAGTGTCGGGTCTGTCGTACATGTGACTGATGCGATTGCTTCTGCTAGGACCGATTGGGCAAAGCCTGCTTGGCGTCCTGCTGCTTCGCCGAGCACGAGGACGGGCTTCCTTCACACAATCCGGCTTCACTTCGCTCCTGAACGACAAATTGGGATGTTTATTCCGACATGTAAACAGGAATCGCAGCAAGGGCATGCAGGGCTCCCGACCACGCATACTGGAGATGCTGGACGCGTGAATGCTGTTCAGAGCAGTTCGTGGCTTGGGAGTGCGGCTGAAAGAAAAAATTTTCTGAGCAAGTACCAAACGCAATTGGACACCTCCTTTATTTCAAACGTTGGACAACTTGGAAACAGGTACCCGGAATCTAAAACGTCGTGCAACCGTGCGACAGACTTCTTTGCATCGCCCTGTACCTTGTCCGTTTCGGTGCTCGCCTTGCTTGCCAACATTGGGCGCCACACCTGTAGCCAGGCGGACTCAGTAGGTGCCAAATATGCCAAAGGATGGGTGACATGTCTCGCACAGACCCGTCAAACAAGCCCATTCCAAAACATCAAACATTTGGCCACCTCCTTACCAAACCCCTGCTGCAACTTCACTCCGCGGCTCATTACCTGACATGTGCAAGTCCTCAGCTGCAACTGCCGCAGTCAAATCATCCACAACCCCGAAACTTGCGGTCAAGACATTCTGTGTGTGAGCATATGGTCTATGAGGGATTTATGTTAATCAATGTCGTTTATGTCATGCGTTCCACTCTCTTCGGTCATTCCATCAATTCATGAAAAATCTCAAGAACTTGTTCAATTAGCTGTAAGTCAGAGAAGAATGAACGAATGAAGGAACAAAATGAAAAATAACTTCGTGAATGAACGATGAGAGAACTAAGAGGATGAAGAGCATGCAGGAAACACGGACAGGACACTAACATGCCGGTGACTTCTTTGTCATTTCCCACAACCGCTGATGACAAGTACAACCTCTGCAACACATGGGGATATTCCAGAAGGCTAGACCCCTCCCCGCAAAGCCCTCTGGCAATCTGACCCTATCCCCCCCCCCCACCGCTGCAAAGAAATGCAGACAGCAGCAACCTCTAAAAGCAGGCGTTGCTATCGTGGGCCCCCCCCTCGGTCTGCTGGTCGCAAAGCGACCCCTGCTTGGTCTTCCCGAAACCCGCCCTAAACCGCACAAACTTTATCCGAGCGCCCGGGGTTATATAGCCCAACAGAATTTAGATAGCCCAACAGCAGTGCACACCGGACAGGCGAAGCCTCATCGAGGGCATGTAATCCTACTTCGCAACGAAAAGGCTCAACTCACCGTCTCCCAGTGAGATACATTGCTTGCTGCTGAAGAACAAAATGTTTTAGGATGTTCCTGGAGGCAAAGCCCCATGACGCACTGCAAGTCAAGCGCGAGTTGCAGTTGCAAAGTAAACTGGGCATGTTCTCAGAAACGTGGCGCCTGTCATGAAGTAAACGGGGTTGCAAGCGATCTGACTACAGACATGATGAGCCTGCCGGTCAATACCCCCTGACACAACGTGAGTTGAAGAGATGCTGCATTTTCTTCGCGCCACGACAGCGACTCAGGAAGGCTTCAACTTCCTCTGGGAACAAACGAAACCTATCTTTGCTTATTCCAAGTAGGCCGTTTGATTCCCGCCTGTCCAGTTTTGTTACTCGCAAAACTCGGCGTCAACGAAGTTGTGGCTTCACACGATGCCCGAACGATACTCCGA